GGCTTTGGCAACCACGACGAGCTTTGGCAGATACAAATCACCCAGGAAATCTTTATATCTGCTCCGCAAAGCTTGTCTCAATTTGTATTCACGTTTATCTCCATGCTATAAAATTGCAATAAATAATCGAGTGGTTTAATAGATTTTAAATCATTAAAAATGGATCGATTTTTAATCATATTAACATTAAAGCGAATTTCATTTTAAATCAATATACTCTACATTAAGATAGAAATTCATTTTATAAAAAGTTTAAATTTCATGTGCATGTATACAATAATAATGTATGTATGTGCGCAATAATGTCATGTGTGCAATCGTACTTTCGTATCTTCATTTTTTTCGTGTGTATGTGTACAATAATACATGTAGGTAATTGGGAGTGTTACAAAAGAAGCTATCGGCAAAATATTATGCGCAAACGAAGCAATTGGCAGTCGGGAATGTAGATAAACGGGACTCCTCCGAAATCTATCTTGAATCTCTCTGCAATTTATTAAAATCAAAATTAGCAAAACAAATTTCTTTATTACATTCTTTTTGGATTAAGGATGTTTTGTATCTATTTTCAAAATATTGAGAATTTAATGAAAATTGTACAGAATGTCCTTACATATGTTTAGAATCTTCAGTACAATTTTTAAATCGATTCACTAAAGCGTTCACAGGATATAAGGATATTAATTTGCACCGAATTAAATGTGTTCTTATGGGAAACGTATAACCACGTCGATTCAAATGACAAGAATACATGGAAATAATATTCAGAATTTGTTTAAAATTTGCAAAAGTTTACAGAGGAAATATTTGGTCAAATAATATTATACAAGTACTAACTAGTTAAAAAGATATTAAATATGATTGAATAAAGTTAGCCATGTAGGCGAAATTCTCTGCCAAAAGTTAATCATTTCGATTAACAAAATTTGGAATATTTCAGTAAAAATGCAATAAATATTAAAAAATATATCTCTGTACTGTAGCTAAGATCAAATTATAATATTCCACGCAATTTTTCATACTCAAAATACACCAAAAGTGGATATATTTGTCAATATTGATTTTCAACTACTTTTTGCTGGGATTGTACATACAAAGATCCTTAAGCGCATAAGTCGCAAAATTAGTAGCAAATAATTATAAAAAATTTTTTTATTTATTAAGACACGTGAAAAGTATACAACATGATTTATGAAGAGTTTTCTTATCTTTCACAATTTATCAAGAGAACAAGAATATTTTTATTATTATGTATATCATGTGTGATTATTATTAATGTAACATTTTTAAATTACAGATTATTATTATTAATTTAACACATCCAAATTACATAAGAATTTTATAAGATTATTAATACTTTAAATAAACGAGGCAACGGGACCAAGTTGCTTTCGTCGTTTAACGACAATCCATGTCGCGGAAATAACTCGTGCTCCCACGATCTTCGTTCGCGCTCGTGGATCCTCTTTTTGTCGACTCATGATCATTTGCTCTTTCGCGCGGATTTCACGGTAGTGTACGACGTGCGAAATGTTCGCGTAATCTGATTTATTGTCACGGCCGCGCGTTTTAGAGGGAGGGCAGTTTATGGAAATGGGTCTTCTTGCGCGCGAATGTACATTTTATATATATATATATATATATATATATATATATATATAAAGAGAGAGAGAGAAAGAAGGGAAAGCTTCAAGTCGCAACATTATCTACGTTCGCAACGAAGAGATGTAATTCTCGCTCTTCTTAATTCCATCGGAGCTCTTTTACAGCCCTTTCACTTTATCGTCATCCATCCCTTATTATTCTACATAATAAAACATTAATAAAAATGATAACATGCCGCAAGTAATGGTATTTAAGCGAGTCGTCGGGATCGATTAGACTTGAACATTTTTTAACGTACCGCTTCGCGAAATGAGATGGAAGCGGGGCATATGTGGATATCCTCATAAATGTGCGTATACATCGCGCGTTACTCCCTTTCGCGAAATTAACGAGCTCCCGGACGGAACTCTTTAACGGAGCGCTTTAAAACTCGACGAGCGCCGACCATAGATTCGATTCCGTGCGGCTTCTGGAATGCGAACATTATCGTTTGCCTCGAAATGAATTTCGCAAGGGAGGGAACGGCGCGCGCCCTACCGCGTGATTCGACGTGCATGCCAATTAACGGAGGCGACTATAACGGGCAAATTCGCCGACGGACAGACGGCGGATATTTACGGCCGATCGAATCGCGGGGAGAGTCCCGGGTATTATAGAATTCTGTCTAAATAAACCTACCGATATTACGTGACCGCGCCTCGTTAAAATTCACGACTTTCCATTCAACGTCGATACACAGACGACGAGCTTACGATTTCGAAGAGTTCGCGACTCTGCGCCTATGCGATTTTCCCTCTCATCCCTCCGAGCCCTCGTTATTACATCCTTGTTCCGATGAGTTATAATATTATTTAAAAAAGGAAACAATGCGACGCGTTGACGAAAATTCGCAGCGTGACGAATTACGATATTAATAGCGATTTCATAAACAGCGATTTCATAAATATTTGTGCCGCGAGAGAGATGTATCATTTTATTGCTATCATATCGGATGTGGAAGAATCGCGCGAAATTTATCGACATATTTGGACTAGCTTATCTCATTCCGATCGATTAATCAATTGTTAAAATCGGAAATCGCGTAAATGCATTAACGCGTTTTTTTTTTTCGTTATATTACTTTTGCAACGCGAGCAACATCGATTATTGCGGTCGTCGTCTGATGACGGCGATTATAAAGGGATATTATATCAGGATCGGGCGACGTCGCGACGCTTCTCTTCGCAAGGGATAGGTGCCGATAAAGGACTATTAGGAGACGCGTTTGGAATCTCGAGCACCTCGAGGGCCGATCACTAAGGAGCATTATCACTTGCGATCAAGTTCTCACCAGGACATGCTCGACGCCGGCAAATGCACACATAGGAGCATATGCACGTCGTTAACCCCCGTCGTCCCCTCTTCTTCCGCTCTTCTGCAAGCCGGAATATGATCCGTATAGTTCACTTACACGCGCGAAACTTGCGCGAACGTTACTAACGAACTGGCATTTCTTGCGTGTTTCGCCTGCTCATGCCGGAATTCCACATAAACGAACATTCTCGCGTAGATAAAAAAGGAATATTGTATCGTCAGACGCAATCTGAGCTGCACAAGAGAGAAAGAAATTTATTTAAAAATAACCTAAAATTTAAATAATTATGTTATAAATTTTTTATTAAATTAATTTTTTTATTTGATTTTAAATAAATATATATTAAACATATTAAAATACATATTAAAATTAAATAATTGTTATTAAAAATAAACTTATTTATAACTTCCATGTTAAGAGAGAATATTACATATGAACGCAACGGTTCTTTATATATCTGAATTTGGAAATTGGAAATATTGCTTCAGGCTGCTGAGTTTCATCATTGTTTGTAGCAGACCTCGTGGTATGCACATATGTGGATCGCGTACCAATCGCGTACAGGACAATATGTAATATTGCACGTCGTGCAGTTTAGCATATTGATCGCACAACAGCCGAAATTATCTCCCCGATTCTGTCCGATACCTGTCCCTAGGTGATCAAAATATTTGCAATCAAATGTCGCGTATAAAGCGGCGTTTTACTATTCGACAAGTATCGGCGATATTATTCCGCCCCTCCAATTTTCGATAATGAAAATTTCGACGGAAATCACTCGTGTTTCGAGCTTACGCGTGATGAAAGAACTAACTGTCGAACAGAATGCGATATCGACGAGATTAATTTGATCAAAGATACTATCTTTCGGACGTACGATAGCTATCGATCGAAGTTTCCAAGCAGAAATTACTCATGACATCGTACAATACTAGCTTATAGATGATGAAAATATATTGGCAGCCGTAGAAGCTAATATTAACAAGTAGAGTCGACAGATCTCCCGTTTATCAAAGTTATATTATCTCTATCATGCAATAGATATTGATCAATCTTCTCTTCGCAAAAGTTACTTCTGATATTGTGCAATAGTTGTCCTTTATTAATAAAATTATTGATATGCGATACTATATTTTGAGCAAAAGATATTGGATAAATTGTAATATCATTACTGTGATTACATTATTCTTTATAAAAGTTGAACGAGAATTATGAACGAGAATATATGATTTTTTGCGCATCTCTTAGATTATAAAGCTATTAGAGTATTAGAGTATAATTTCAAAATTGAACAAAACATATTGTAGAGAAATTGTAACAATACAATAAATGTCAAAATTATTTTTGCTACTGGAAAATATTGGAATATCTCACGTAGAATGCATAATAATATATATGGGACATTCACGCGCTATCGATAACACTATTTTTTCAATTTTTATTGGCGTGAAGTCCATTAAGCCTGAAATCAGTAGACTGTCTGCTCATACAGAGTCCAATATTGCTGGATCGTGAATTTTCGGTGATACGAGAAAGGTATTGTTTTAAATTTATTTGTGTCGTATGTTTTGTTTTTTATGACTTCGTGAGTAATTATACATATCTAGGTATAATAATATTTTATCGAAAGATTCTTTATGTTAAACATAAAAAGATTAGAGCAATAAATTTTATAGATGTAATAAATAGACACATTTGAGAAGAAAACAACATGAAATGTTATCTTCTTCTTGATTTAGTCAGTCGTAGGAAAAATATTTGTTAAATTCGACGATTATTGCTTAAAAAGTAATACTACATAATAAATTGTGTAGCACAATTTTTTGCTATTTCGTTAATGCTATTATTAATGCTATTAGATTATTAAGAAATTCGTAATAATATGAATAAAATCATTTTTCTTTTATTGTATTTCTTTAACACACTCCTTTCAATTAAACATTATAATTTTCAATATTTTTGTAATTTATATTTTTATTAATAGTACTAAAATATATGAAATATTATTCCACGATAAATAATAAATGTATATTAATAAAAATAGTGTTGCTATAAACTTCTTTATTAATGCTAGGATATTTGTATATATATATTTCGTTTTTTTTTTTTATTAAATTAATGTTTCTTTATTAAATTATATATTTTGCTTTCAAGCGTGATAGGATATTTCGTGTTAGCGTAATCCGGAGTCTGCCTCTTGTCGCAAATCATATCTTCATCAGATGGAATCAAATCCTGAATTAGATACGAGAACTTGTCGAAAGGACAGAGCATTTCACAACCTGGGATCTGAAGTTCGTCAAAGATCGGCGGAATGCCTCGATAATATAGAAACTATATAAAAGATTTATAAAATTATAAAATAATACTTATTGTTAATAAAACAAACGCGATATGAATAATTAAATTGATATTTTCATATATAAATGGATAATTTAATAATATAATCATCTTTCTTTAATTGTTTAATATTTTTATTAAAAAACTAATTGAAAATTTTATAGAAAACAAGGATTGATAAATTAATAATTATAATAAAAATTAAATTAAAAAATATAACAAATAAGAGAAATAATATTAATTTTAATATTGATTTACGTTGCAAAAAATATGATATATTTATCGATTTTATGATATTTTATATATCTCGAGAAATCATAGATTGAATTAATATTAACGCAATGATTAATTAATCAGAGAAACAAAGAAATATTGTTTGATAACATCAACTCACTTTTACGTAATACTGCTTGTTTTGCTCCAATAATTCTAAAATAACCGCACTAGAGTATTCAGGTACATGAGGTTTATACAATTTAAATGCATGTAACATCGCCGCAATGTTAGATTCGTGACCGCTATACAAATAAAGTTTTGTATTCGATGGGATTGGATTTTTTTCAGTTATCATATTGTTGAATATTGCGCGAATCATCGGACCTAAAGCAGAAAACAACTCTTATAAGTATATATCATAAAAAATATCTATAAATAAAATTATATAAAGATAAAATTTTCTAACTATATCTTACCAGCGTAGAGCTTTCTTATTAAAGAAGTATAACTGGCAATATTATATGAGAGTACAATTGTATCGAACAGTGGACCATCAGGAAAGTAATCGTATGCCCATTCGGGAAGAGTTAGATTCATGGACGATTCTGCTACGAAAGTATGATACAAATAGTATAAGTCCAAAGGTTTCTCGATTTTCTTACCCGTTAATTCCGTCAACTTGCTCATTATGTTTTTAAATCGGGACATCTCTTTTTTTATTTCGGGCAAATTCAATATACGACCGTACTCATCAAGAAATCTGAAACGCATCTCATTGTTAGATATAAATCTATTCGTATTTCGCATAAATCTTTGAGTTTGAAAAAATATTTCTTTATCTTTATATTTATAATATTCAAAGTTGTTTTCTTTAAATATTTTTAAATTAATTTTCTATATATTGTATTTTATTTTTATGTATTTATTTATTCGAAAATATATATATATATCAAAGGATCTAATAGATATAGATAAATAGATATATCCATTTAAACAATAAATTTCTGTTTTCCTTTGATTTATGTCTGATAACATTAGTTAAACTTACTTTGGACATTCATCACTCAAGTAAAAATTGTCGTCGATACGTGATACATATGTCACCGGAATTGGTTGCCAATTTAAATCAGCGTTCCATTGTTGTCGACGATCCGTAGGCGGAAATAAAGCAGCAAGAACGAGTTGCAGAGACATTTTTGTTCGATCATAATCGGAACTGTGACCCACGACGAGCTTTGGCAGATATAGATTGCCGAGGAAGTCTTCATATCTACTGCGCAAAGCTTGTCCCAATTCATATTCACGTTTTTTGCCATTCTATAGAATTGCATAAATAATTGGATGAATTAATCGACCTTAAATCATTAAATATAGATTAATTTAATATAGATAAAATATAGATTTTTATATTAACATTCACACACACACACAAACGAATTTAATTTAATTTTAAATCAATATATTCTATATACATATTCAATATATTCTATATACATTATTAAAATAGAAAAAAATTTATTGTATAAAAAGTTTTATTTTTCAAAAATAGAAAAGTATGTGTGAGCTTTATAATTTCTCGCAAAAAATTTTTAAAATAAATTTTGTTAAAAAACTTGAAAGTTTTGTGCACGTGTGTATAATTTTCTAATATCACATATATACACGTATACACATAAAATTTTCGTGAATATTTAATTTTAGATATTGGCTTATAACACTTCCATATTGGCTTATAATTTATTTATTTTCATTCTATTACTTTTTTTAGAAAAAAATATCAAAATAAAATTATATTACTTACATTAGTCAATTGGCCAAGACCTGTCGGGAAAAATGAATAATTCAGATATGGATCAGTCGGAAACAATTCATATCCATTATTATCAGGTGTTCGATCGCCATGTCTAAATATCTATAAATAAAAGTTGAGTAAAAATAATTATTTATATATATATTTGGCGATATTTTTCTCGCCTACATCTCTTCAGGGGGGTAAAGAAGGATTTTATAGTATTTTTGAAAATGAGAGAGAATCTATATCTTGATAAATGCACCAAGTATATATGCATATTGTCGCGTTTTAATTTTCGCGAATAATTATAAAAAAAAAAAATGACACACTATCAACCGCGGTGACTCTTAATCGTTCTTTTCTAGTGTATCGTGTTATTAAATACATAAAGAGCCTAATTCTTTATCAATTTATTAATTTAAAAAATAATTATTCTTAATTATTTGCGTTTGCAAATTTAAATAATCCAGAGAAAAGAGAGTTTAGTTTAAATTTTATATAAAGCGCTAAATATTTGTCTTAAATTTAAAATATTAACAATAATATCTTACCACATTAATTAATTTCAATTCAGGCTGTACACTTGCAATTAGAATTGCATTTAAACTAATGACTAGAGTTATCGACAAATAATTGCCGAGGATGCAGAACGACACCATGTTACTGAGTCCTAATCTCAAAATGTAATGTCATTCGACTTATACTTAATTCCAAATCAAAAGTGATAAATGTCGTAATAGCGATAAAATTGATAAAAATTGCTTTATATAAACAACTGTATAAATGTGTAACTATAAACTTATGTTCCTTTGTTCGATACAAACGTGCAAATGATAGCATGCTTACGTAAACCATAAAATAAATCTAAGATAAAGATAAGAAATAAAAGTAAGAATAAAGAGCTTATAACGTTTTTTAATATGCTGCAAGAGATAAAAGGATTATTTGACTGAAGTAGCACTAATATGTACAGAAACGTCCTACACACACACACACACACACACACACACACACACACACACACACACACACACACACGCACGCACGCACGCACGCACGCACGCACGCACGCACGCACGCACGCACGCACGCACGCACGCACGCACGCACGCACGCACGCACGCACGCACGCACGCACGCACGCACGCACGCACGCACGCACGCACGCACGCACGCACGCACGCACGCACGCACGCACGCACGCACGCACGCACGCACGCACGCACGCACGCACGCACGCACGCACGCACGCACGCACGCACGCACGCACGCACGCACGCACGCACGCACGCACGCACGCACGCACGCACGCACGCACGCACGCACGCACGCACGCACGCACGCACGCACGCACGCACGCACGCACGCACGCACGCACGCACGCACGCACGCACGCACGCACGCACGCACGCACGCACGCACGCACGCACGCACGCACGCACGCACGCACGCACGCACGCACGCACGCACGCACGCACGCACGCACGCCACGCACGCACGCACGCACGCACGCACGCACGCACGCACGCACGCACGCCACGCACGCACGCACGCCACGCACGCACGCACGCACGCCGCACGCCACGCACGCACCACACACACACACACACACACACACACACACATATATTAAATATAATTTTTAACGAGATTTAAACTTACTTTCTTCTTTATGATCTTTTGATAAAAGGTTTCTCATCCATTTAACGGAATGATGGGAAATATTTTTGATATTTTGAAAACGATAAATATTTTGAATAATTTATATATATATTATTATATAATTATATATTATATATTATAATTATATTATATATATATATATATATATATATAATAATATATTATATATATTATATATTATATATATATATATATATATATATATATATATATATATATATATGACGATGAACATTGATCGCGAACTTTCCTTGGAAATCAATAATTGAAATAAAATATACTTTTGAATTTTCTGTGTAATATTCATTAAATTTTATGGCATATCAAAGTGCGAAAAATCTTTCTTATCAAGTAATGTGGTAGCGTCGCTATACATAAAAAAGTACATAAAAAACTGGATCTGAGTATTGAGAGTTACTGTTGTCGATGCGGGGCTATCAAGTAGCTTATCCGGAATTAAAATAAACTTTCAATCAAAATATCTCAAGAATTAAAGCTATAATAAAAAAATCTAACGACACTTTTATGATAGAATGTGAACACAAGTTTTCGATTGCGATCAGTTTGATGCAATCAATCTTGAGAATTGATAATCGCATCAGAATTTTTATTTTTCATTTTTCTTCACAATAATATTCAGACTCATGTACATACGTATGCGTGCAGCACACATGCAAAGCGATTTTGTTTCTCAAGCGGCGTTCGCATCGTGCATAGACGATTAGTCGCTTTGCTGTGCAAAATGCCTTAAGAGACAAAATCATACGTGTATATGTGTACTTGTGATACGTGTATGTATACGTGTGAAAGATTAATTTATTGTGTCATAACAATTTGCAAAAACCATCCCTTTGGGGTGGAATTTAATATCTCAGAAACACAACTTACTTTTGAATTTCATTGATTAGCGCCACGGTCAGCACGAAAAAGCGAATTTCTGGCAAATTTTATTCCATACATTGACACCTGAATAGATAGACGAAGCATCAGCTATCGATTAAGAGGGGGGCGAATTTGATATTCGCGATAAGAAAGAACTTTATAAACTTCGGTTGAATATGAATATTCCCGATAATGATCGGTTAATAATTCGACTGCAATCATTGACATCAAAGTTCAGCTCACATGTATTGTGTGAAGTTGTGTTGTGACTAATGTCATATTATTTTTATATTTATTATATTATTTTTAAATTTATATATATTATTTAATATTAAATATGTCAATGTTTCTATACGTTGTGATTGGATATACAAAAAATAAATTGTATGCGACTACTAGAGCTGTGGCTTATCGATACGCGGCAGCGACATTCGAAACCAGATTCCTATCGATCAATCGATTTTAAAAATATTTTGCTTAAAAATATTTTTTCTATAATTAGCATAAAATTTATTAAAATAAATTTTTAAACGTGTGCCTGATTAATGAGAGAGCGATTAACGTTTCGAAAGAATAGATTGTTTACGCCGATTAGACAGATATGCAACAATGAACACAGCAAATAACACTTTGCTCTCAAAAATTAGCATTCCAATTAGCAATAAGCTCATATCATCTGTTTTCACAATAAAGTATATTATGCTGTTGAAAGGCAAAATTATGTATAATATTTATTATACAAATTATGCAAAAATTCATATCGATGACGTGCGAGCTTTGTCGATTGAAAAGATTGATTAGAAAAGATTGAATTTTTATTCTTATCGAAGACTGTACAAATAATTTAAAAAATTGATGGTAAAATATACAATGCAATGTGACAAGTAAAAATTTCCTATGTATTGTGACAAATATTTGTTCCTTGAGACACAGCTAAGCATTTAAAAAAAATTTTAATTTATTTTACACCTTTTTCATTCACTCAAGTAAAAATTGTATACTCACTTTCCTCATTTTTGATCATTTTTATCTACATATATGTATCTTTTATACATAAAACTTTTATAATTTTTACATATTTATATATTTATATATAAAATGTGAAATATATCGTTACATAAATTTATACTTATTCTATTATTTTATATACTTATGCTATCAATTATATTCTATTTATATAATAATATATAATTTAATAGATATATGTATAATAATTTTATAATATAAAATTGTATTTATTAAATGAAAAGATTAATACATATATATTTTCTAAGGTTTTATATTTTATATATAAATGACTGGGGCACATTAAGTTTTCATATTTTACTTTGATCTGAATGAAGGCTGTTTATGCGATTTAGAATTTAAATCAAAACTTTTTTTTTAATTATATACATAATATAAAAAGTACTTGAAGAATTAAACTAATCTTAACTCACTTCGTATCGATTACAAATTAATATTATATAATTTATTTTACTTGGCTAATTGTATTGATACCAGTTTTAAAATTTTTCACTTTTATTATTTTTTTAGATTTGTAAATTTTTTGAAGGCGTTATATATATTTTTTCGCATAAAGAATATTATATTTGAAGTGTGTCATAAATTAATTGCCAACAATACAAGAAGAAGTTTCGAAATTATTTGTTAATTATGCGATGTGGAAACATGAAAAATAATAAGAAAATGATACATAAATTAAATTAAAATTGAAAATGATATATAAATTAAAATAAATTAAATTAATTTGTCTTTATTTTTTATAACATATTGTGCGTTCTCAAATATCTCATAAAAAATTAGTACTAAAGCAACTAATCACAATTCTTTAAAGTGTATATTTGATTCATAATAAATGTAATTTTTTTTTTCATATAAATAAAATGAACACATATTTATATATATTTATATACACACACACACACACGCACGCACGCACGCACATAAAAAGATTTAAAAAATTATTAGATTTAGAGAATTTTCTATTAGTTTCTCAAAACTCACTTTTTTACTAGATCGTTCAAATATAATTATATAATATTATACATTATAATATCGTCGAGTTTATGTATACGTTAAACGAATGTGTTAATATAATTGAATAAATATATATATTAATATATATATATATATATATATTAATATATATAATATATATATATATATATATATAATAATTGAATAAATAATTGAATAAATTAATATGAAAAAAGGAAATGTTTTGTAAACGATAACTTAATTGCGATATATTATGATAAAAAATGTAACTAATTTAACTATATTTTTATGTTTACGATGTTTTTATCTTACACTTTTATCTTACACTTGATATCAGCATGCATTATTTATACATTTCTATTTATTCCTGATGACTTAATTAAATCGTACATGACTTTTTGCAAACCGGCGGGATATTCTATGTTGGCAAAATCTGGTGTCTGCCTTTTGTCGCAAATCATCTCATCGTCGGACGGAATTAGATCTTCAATTAAGTCCAAGTACTTGTCAAAAGGACAAAGCACATCGCAACCTGGGATTTGCAATTCCTTGATGGTGGGGGGGATGCCTTGATAATACAGCAGCTAGAATTTATCGCGATATAAAATAATTAAATTTATACGATATTTATATTATGTTTGTTCATTGAATATTATTGATAGCACACACTTACTTTGACATAAAACTCTTGATTAATCTCTTGCAGTTCCATAATAATCGCGCTAGAATACTCGGGTACATGTGGCTCATACACGCCGAAAGCTTGTAATAAACTCGCAATGTTAGTCTCATGACCACTGTATAAATAAATCTTCGTGTCTGAATTCATATTTTGCGCAGCGATCATATTGTCCGTCATGGCACGGATGAGAGGACCTAAAACAAAATAAGGATATATCATAAATAAAGATGCTAATAATAATAATAATATAATATTATTATTACTAGCAAAATATTATTTTTAAGACAAATTATTTTAAGTCAAATTATTTTAAATTATATATAATTTTGATTTAGAAATATTATAAACATATTATTAATTAATTTAGAATTTTTTAAATAAAATTTATTTTAATTTGATTATAATGGGTTGTATAATGGGATTATAATGGCTTATAATTTGATTATAATGGGTGGTATAATGGGATTATAATTTGATTATAATTAATTTGATTATAATATCTTTTGCATAATTTTCTAAAATAAAATTTATTTTAATTTGACTATAATGAATTCTTTATATATATATATATTAAAGAATTCATTATAGTCAAATTAAAATAAATTTTATTTAATAATCAAAAAAAATATTACGGGTCAATGAACCAAAATCGCGTATCTTATGGCGACAAATTTATAAACAAAAGGAGCAACAAGTCTCACACATATAACCACAAATGTGATAAAAAAGTATAAAATAAAGCGTACATAAACCGTGATCTAAAAGAAAAAAATAATAACATAGACGAGTCGTTATAATTTTGAAGTCAGCAATAATTAAAGATAATTACATATATTAAAAAGAGCCAATACAGATTTGAAATCAGAAGTAATGATTGAGAATAATTGTATATAGTAAAAGGAACAAGGACAGTAATTTTCCTTGCGTTTTTCCTTGAGTTTTTACCATGTTTTCATAAGGTGAGCGTTATATCTGCATATGTACACAGATCCGTTACAATCTTCGTTACTAAAGTATCAAAACTTTATATACCAGCGACTTCCGAACAATAATTCTTCATTTTGTTGTAACAATTCTCGAGCGTCATGTCTGTACACGTTATACAAACATATATCATTTTATACGCAATTAACATTCTGTTACAATAATTTTCTGAGCGTTCTTGTTTGCATACGTACACAGACTTATTATAGTTTTTTATGCGCATTACCAATGTTATACTTGCGACATTTTTCTGTAAATAATTTCTGTTCTACTCGACTCTATCATTTACTATTTTTCACTTATGTATTTTTCTTTTCACTGAAGAGAACCCAATATGGGAAACGTTTGCTAATAAAATTTGCACTTGATTCATATGTTATTTTTATAGTGTTTTCCATCTTTGCCAAATTAACATATAAGTGCAGTTACTTGAGTTTGTCGCCATAAGATACGCGATTTTGGTTTATTGACCCGTAATATTTTTTTTATTATTATTTATTATATATTGAACCTTAAACTACATTTTTTAAATTTGTTTAATTTTATAAATTTTATTTATTTTATATATATATATATATATATATATATATATATACAAATATATATATATAAATATATATATATATATATTTGTATATATATATATATATATTTGATAATAATTGAAATAAAATTTATTTTAATTTGACTATAATGAATTCTTTAATATATATATATATAAAGAATTCATTATAGTCAAATTAAAATAAATTTTATTTTAGAAAATTATGCAAAAGATATTATAATCAAATTATATATATATATTGTATATATAAATATATACAAATATATATATATACTAAATTTTATTTAATCACCAAAGAACCCATTATATAGTCAAATTGAGATAAATTTTATTTTAAAAAATTATTCGAAGAACCATTATAATTAAATTAAAATAAATTTTATTTTAAAAAATCGCAAATTAAATAATATTATGTTTTGCTTCTAAATCAAAATTATATATAATTTAAAATAATTTTATTTTAATTTAATAATGTATATATATATATGTATATGTATGTGTGTGTGTGTGTGTGTGCGTGCGTGCGTGCGTGCGTGCGTGCGTGCGTGCGTGTGTGTGTGTGTGTGTGTGTGTGTGTGTGTGTGTATCTAACTTACCAGCAAATAGTCTCCTTAATAAAGGAGTAAAACTACTAATATCGTATTGCGCCACGATTGCGTCGAATAACGGGCCATAAGGGAAATAATCATATGCCCACTCGGCAAGCGGCAACCCTAAGGAAGACTCCGCAACAAAAGTGTGATAAAGAAAATACAAATCAAAAAGCGTCTGCATTTTCTTGCCAGTTAGCTTTGTCAAATTGCTCATTAAATCGTTGAATTGATATATCTTTGCTTGCACTTCAGGCAAAATCAATACTCGGTTATACTCATTGAGATATCTGAAAGCAAATCAAAATGTCAATTTCTTACTTTCTGATGAATAAGTCGTCAAGCGAAATATAAAAATGTATTTTTCTCTTATCTTATTTTTTATATATCTTTCTTCACATTCTAACACAACTTTTCAACACTTATAATTATAAAATTCTTTTTCTTATTTAAAAAAAGCTTCGCAAATTTTATTTACTTATTCTTTAAATGTTGACACTCAGTCTCACAAAATTTATATTATCTTTTCTTAATATCAATAACATTAAACTTTTGAAGGTCGCCAGTAAATAAAATAAAAGAAGTAATTAAAAACGACCACACTGGCAAATTTTATTAAAGTGAATCACGACGTTTCGACCATGGTTTTGGTCCTTTTCGAGTGAAAATAATTTAGTTAACTATTTTATCGTGAGAAATAAGGAAATCACTTCATCAAGATTATCATGTCAACGTCTCCATCAACACACAGAGAAAGACTAAACGTTTTTAATTACTTCCTTTTCTTAATATCATTTAATCTTAATTACCTCCAAAATTAAAAAAATAAAATTTCTTAATTCGTTTTTTATTTATTTGCAATTTGTCATACTTACTGGGGACATTCGTCGGTCAAGATGAGGTTGTCATCGACACGTTGCATGTACGATGTTGGAATCGGTTGCCAATTTAAATGAGAATTCCATCGTTGAACACTTATCGGTGGAAATAAGCCAGCAAGAACAAGTTGTAAGGACATTTTTGTCCTCTCGAAATCCGAACTACGAGCTACAACGAGTTTTGGCTTGTACAAACTGCCTAGGAAATCATTATATCTAAAGCGTAAGATTTGTCCCAACCTATGTTCGCGTCTTTTTCCCTCCTGAGCAAAGAAAGTTTACATATTTTCTATTAATTAATTATCAAAGCATTTTGTTAAAATTATTTTTAATTAATTTTAAAAATATACAAATTAGAAAAGATGGAGGATTTTATTCGATGAAAGTATTTACACAAAATTTTAATTCTCATAAAAGAACTTAATTATCATGTAAAATATCTTAAAATCTCACAACAAAGTTAAATTTTCTTAATTTATATTTTAATTCATATTTTTTATAGTAATTTTATTTTGTTTTTTAATGTTATGTTACTTACTATAGTCAATTGTCCAAGACCTGTTGGGTAAAAAGAGTAATTTATATATGGATCCTTCGGAAACATTTCACGACCATTATTATCGGGTGTTCGATCACCATGTCTAAATACCTGCAAAAATTAATAAATGAAAATAATTAATAGAATTAATTAAATCACCACTTTAGAAAGAAATAATCTTAAAATAATTTGATTTTTTTATATAAAATGCTTAATTTTGTCATTAAATTATAATGACATTAACGACTAATATTTATAATTATACTTACCACATTTACTAATTTAAGCTCAGGTTGCACAGCTGTTATCAGAAGTGCATTTAAAATGATGACTGAAGCAACTGATAGATAATTTATGAAAACACGGCACGAGATCATGTTGCACCTAATTTGAAAATGTAATATCATTAGACTTAAATTTTCAGTGAAAATAATTTTGTAATATCGATAGATTAATAAAAATGTGCGAGATAAAACAGATATATTTTAGAGATTTGTCAATATCTATAAATATTCGTTAATACGATACATTCCACGTTGAGAGAATTCAATTTGACATATATTTGTCTAGATATGTTTACGTATGTTACATAAAGTAAAATATAAGTGGCTTATGTTATTCTCAACAAATGTGATTTATTAAAAAGTTATTATTACGGTTAGTAATGTAACTAAAAAAAATGTCAATATTTCTTATATAAATAATTGCGATTCTATCTCAAACTATAAATATTTCGAAAATATTTAAATTTTATTATAAAATTTATTATAAAATTTGACATACGTATTAATGATGTTCGAAGAGCGTTCTTTGGAAATCAACGATCGAGTTATTATGACTCTCAACGTTTAAATCGATGCCAGACTTGAACAAGGTCCTTATCAAACTACCGATTGTAAGGATTAATTGTAAACTGAGTCTTTCGTACGACACATAAGGCTTTTAAGGTGCAGGAACGTATACCCCACCATATCGTACTTCCTGTCTAAACTGTACACGTCACGACATCGCGGGATTTTGTTTCTTAGCAGAAGATTTTTATTTCTTATTATAAAATAATTTATTTCTATACAATAATAAAAAATTATGTTCTAAATAATAAGATTTATTCATATAATATACAATTCCATATCTATACAATTTATTTATACAATATTATTTATATTGAACATGAAAAATTTAAGAATCTACGAGAGATTTCAGGATTTCCCAAAGAAGGATATTCCGAAGCGTCATCAGCAAGCGAGCTTCGAGGAAAAACTGTGTTAAAAAGCATGAAAAAGTCATTGTATTACACATCATTGTACTTCATGAATGTTTTAAATAATGTTTTGTTTCAAATAATGTTTTGAATAATGTGTTAAGTAAATTTCCATTAACTTAATAATAGTTTTCGTCATACATTGTTGCGTCACAATATTAGTCTTAAAATATCGCGGAATACGTATTTATTGTAATGAGAATAAAAAACGAGTATTTAATTAAGTAAAATGTAATTAGAATAATTTAAATATAAACCGAATTTTTATTATAAATCTATTTCAAAAATAAATTATAGAAAGTATAAATTTACATTTTTTTACATAATCTCTCTATAATTTTTCCTCTATATTTGTTTAATCGTACACTTGAGTTTTTGAATATAAACAATATATATTGAATATAAACAATATTTATTGAATATAAACAGAAATATAAACTTTCATCTGTTCATTTTAGATTCTTTGACAAAAATTTTGATAAAAATAACTATTACATAGAATTATATCATTACTTGGACAATTCTACAATATAATTCTTAATTGTAAAAATAAATCTAAATTTATATTTGAACTATTTTTATGCATAAAGTAATATCTTCCTTCTACGGGCATTGAGGTGAATTTTACTCATAAATTTATGAACAAGTCATGTAATCATGTTGGAATGTAATCATGTTGAAAATCATATTTTGTGTCTCGGGAAGATTATTCAGACAAGCACTATTATATAATGCATGAAGCATTAATTAAAGGCATCACATAGCATTTATATAATTTTCTTGAGATTTTCTTGCTTATGTGAACAATGTAATCATAGTACCATTTATATTTGTATTGATTATAATTTGTTCACGTTTTGTCGAATATATACATATTTAATATTTTCAGGACACTCTTGTGAGATTTCCATATATAATATAATGACAACGATTTTTCCGTAATTCCTAATGCAATGTTTTCAAAGTTTGAAATTAATTCCTACTATTTTCACTATACATAAGTAGCAGAAATAGTAGCAGAAATAACAATATTAAGACAAAAGTAAAAAATATTTATAGATTATGTTATATATATATATATATATATATATATATATATAACATAATCTATAAATAAATATATATATATATATATATATATATAAATATTGTTATATGTATATATATATATATATATATATATAGTAATTGTACAAATTAATAATGAATAAATCGATAACATATATTTCGAGTAAATTCTGTTATACAAATAAAGTATGCGATAAATATAATTAACATAAGATATGCATTAATATGCATCAGATAAATAGATATCAAAAACTGATTGAATAATAATCGTGAAGCAATAATTACGAAGAAAAAAAATGAGTAAATATGAGTAGATATAAAAAAAGATTTCGGATTAAAAAATAAAAACATATAATCTCGCTTAAAAAAGAGATATGTAAAATCAAATCGAATATTATTGTTTCATTTCTGTAATATTGAACAGCTCTTTCTGTATTTATTTTATATTGAGCAGCTGTTATCTTGACAATATAAATATTAAGAGAATTAGTCATTGCACAAGTGATTTTTCATTATGAAAAATTTAAAAAGGACCGCTCATAAAATTCAATTTAATAATACTAACTAAATTTAACTTTACATGCTCTTTCAAACTCTTTTATCTTATATAACTCAATAAATTATTAAATATATATAATATAATATATTTTTATATTAATAAAATTTTTGTTAATATTAAAAATTTATAAGATGTAAATCAAAATTAAATATTAGCGCGTCTATTGCTATGTTATAAAAGTAATTTCACATTGATACAATTTTCATTCTCAAACATTTCATGTACGTCTTGAATAATATTTATTGATTAATATACTCTACAAAATATAATATTGATTAATATACTCTACAAAATTGCATGTGTTTTTTTCAAAAGTATTTGACATACAATCTTCCCCTAAACTAGATCACACAAATACGGTAAAAAATAACATTTGAATAATATATACTCGTTCTTTTCGTTACGGATTTGCAAAATTGATTGTAACAACATAGAACAATTGTCTTGTTTCCATACATATAATGATCATCCAATTACTTTTGTTTGCCTACTTAAAATCATTAGCATCTTATTATCTATAATAGCGCACTTGTTTGCAAGAATATCAAATTATTTACTATTATCCATATATATTGTACTAATATAGTAATCAAAGAAATCTGTTGCGTATTTTATTAAAAATTCTATTAAAAATATACTATAGAAAAATTTTATTAAAAATTCTATTAAAAATATACTGTAGAAAAAAATCTATTTTGCACAATTTGACTTTTATAATCTTCAAATTCTACTTGCATTTTTCATATCAGACTAATTATTAAAACTAATTATTAAGAGAATCTGATTCTTAAAATTATTTTGCAAAGTCATCAGACTTAAGATATTTAATTAGATAAATTTGAAATAATTTGTTTATACATGTTTTAATCACTCATTGTTCATTTGTAATACGTAATTGCTAATTTGAAAGTCATTATTTCGCCTAATTATTTTATAAAACGAATTAGTAATTGTGAGACAGATAATTTTTATAAAAATTAAGATAATTAAATAAGAATAATTTTCAGACATTTATATTACTTGCAACAGTATGTTTTCAAACATGTATTCATAAATATGGAAGCAATCCGCAGACCGCAATTAGATAACACTTAAAGGATGCAGATAAGTTTACATTTACATTTGTTATATAAATATGTGCCAAACCAAGCGTAAATCGATATATATATATATATATATATATATATATATATATATAATTCAACTGATATAACTTTAACAGAAACGAATCAAACGACTTCACTTCAAAATTGCAATACATTTGCGTTCACGTTTGCGATCACAAATAGCTTTTTAGCTTAGCGATATTAATATAACATATGCGTTATATTATGTATATATTATATTATTTATGTATTTAATATTTGTATATTCATACGTATAAAATTTATCTTCTTCAAAAAATAAGAAAAATTAAAAAATTAATTGTTTCATCTGTGTCACTTTTTCTAACTATCATTAAATAGTCATCTGTTTTTAATGTTAATCTATCATTTATGTCGTAGCAGTGATAATAATTTTCATATAATTAATATGTCATACATAATTGATGATACAATGATTAAAATTGTTTAAATCACAATATATTTTAAGTCAAATATACAAACAATTATGTAAATATTTAATAAATATAATAAAACTGTATATGAAAATGTATATGTTCATGTATAATAAAATTATATAAAAAAAATTATATGAAAATTATATGAAAAAGTGTTTAAAAAATTTATTCCACATCTATTTCATATTATGGATATCTTAGTCTTAGATAATTTAGACTCAATTATTTCCTCATCAAAGATATATCGAAATGTGTATATAATAGCCTTCACAAGCGATACAAGCAATTAAATATGAATGACTTTTAGCGAAATATTCTTCATAATAAAAATGTAAGATTTTTGCTTTATGCTTCGTTAAGCATAAAGCAAAAATTACTTATCGAATCACGGAAACCGGGAATGTCCGATAGAATGATTTATTCATGATGCTTTTTTAACTATCATTTTGATGATAATATTATTCGTTTAAACAACTAATTATTATGCGAATGACGTTGATATTGTATAACATTTGTGACCTAATTTTGATATCAAAATAATTCTGTATACATGTTTGAACACTTACGATTCAATCAATAAAAAGAAAAAAGATTTTTATACACACACACACACACATATATATATATATATATATATATATATATATATATATATATATATATATTATATATCTTCATTTTGCTCGATATTTTCTCGTAAATCATGTCAAATAAAAAAAATTTTAAACCAAACTTATAAAACATCTTTTTGCTATATGATATCATACTTATTCGTCTTATATTAGTCTCATTGTCTTTCTTATCATTACAATCAAATTCAATCGTGATTAATGATTTAGAAAATTAATTAATTTCCAGTGTATTATATATTTAGAAATATCATTGATAATGTATAAGATGAGATAAGATTTATCACTGCAAGATAAAAAATGTATATCATTGCTGATTTTATTATCTGCAAATATTACTACTATATAGATCCCAGAATGACAATCGTAATTGTCACTATATGTATATAGTTACTACTATATACAGGGTGTCCCAGACCATCCGTACACTCCTTTTAAAATAAAAATAAATGGCTTTTATAAAAAATCGCGAACAATTTTTAAGTAAATCAGATACACCCTATCAAATGGTGATATTTTCAACTTTTGATTTCGACCGGAAATACGTCATCCGGATCGAAAGTTGAATTTTTTTAGGGATACATGGTACTTTTTATTACAGATTCGAATTGTATGTGGAAAAATAAGGAACTTTTGTATCAAATGTTTTTCCTAAAAGTGCCTCTGTCAATCTTAAAATTAAAGTTCATTATTTCATCACGGTTACCTTCAAGGATAATTTTAAGATTGACGGAGGTACTTTCAGAAAAAATGTTTGATATAAAAGTTTCTTATTTTTTCACGTACAATTCGAATCTGTAATAAAAAGTAATATGTTCCCCTAAAAAAATTCAACTTCCGATCCGGAACAGCGTATTTCCGTATTTGATTTCGGTCGAAATCAAAAGTTGAAAATATCACCATTTGATAGAACGTATTCGATTTACTTAAAAATTGTTCGCGATTTTTGATAAAAGCCATTTATTTTAATTTTAAAGGGGCTGTACGGATGGTCTTGGACATCCTATACATCGAATAACAGTCAACAATTGTTAAGTGGCGGAAAGATCTCATATCATTGATATGATTTATATATATATAGTATAAGCAAATGTATTTTTATCTCTTACGAAAGAAATGTCTTTAAGACATCGAAGAATAAGTATAAGATTAAAAATCTTACATTTGTGTTTATATTTTTATATCTCGAAATTATAACACGCTTGATATGCGCATAAGTTAAAATTGACATTACTATTGTACTTTTTTAAAAAATAAAAGTCAACGGAAGTATGTATTATTGCAATATTTTATCGCGACAATGATAAAATGCGATTGCAATATGCAAACAGCGTTATCGTTAAAGCGTTCAATTCTTTTGAAATATCTAAATTATTTTTGCCTTGACTGTGACTTTTGTAAAACAGAGAAAATTGACAGAGGCACTTTTAACAAAAAGGTTTGATACAAAAATTTCTTAATTTTTCACGTACAATTCTGTAATAAAAAGTACCATGTTTCCCTAAAAAAACTTCCGATTCGGATGGCGTATTTCCAGTCGGAATCAAAAATTGAAAATATCACCATTTGATAGAGCGTACCCGATTTACTTAAAAATTCGTTATTTTTGATAAAAGCCATTTATTTTTATTTTAAAAGGGTTATACGGATGGTCTGGGACATCCTACATATCGAATAACAGTCAACAATTGTTAAGTGGCGAAAAGATCTCTGATTGCTTTTATCTATTTAATATATTCTAAGATAATATATATCATTGATACGATTTATATATATATATATATATATATATATATATATATATATATATATAATATAAGGAAATGTATTTTTATCTCTCACAAAAGAAATGTCTTTAAAGCATCGAAGAATAAATATAAGATTAAAATTTTTACATTTGTGTTAACATTTTTTTCCCAAAATTATAACATGCTTGATATATGCACAAGTTAAAATCGACATTATTATTGTACTTTTTTTAAAAAATAAAAGTTGATGGAAATATGTATTATTGGAATATTTCATCACAACGATAAAATGCGATTGCAAACAGCGTTATCGTTAAAGCGTTTAATTCTTTTGAAATATCTAAATTACTTTTGCCTTGACTGCGACTTTCGTAAGCATTAACACATGGTATCATTCTATTGTAATCAACATCGTCGTCAATCCTGCTTTTTTCACGCTTACGTATTTAGTGATGTAATCGCATATGCTATGTGCGGTATGTGTTACGGAGCGAATCACACGTGTTCACGGAATAACATTAATATAGATAAAACGACGACATCGACGTATGAATTAATATGTAAGCAGATATATACGTATGTCATTATTATACGAGTATGGATCACATTATAAGAGAGAGTGAAATGTTGTGTGAGTCATGAAATACTACGAAATACTACGTATATAATTATTCAATTATATTTAATAATAATTTAGATGATAATTAGATAATAATTTTGATGCTCCAATATGATCATGAAATATTTGATTTTTAACTAATATATAATAAATAATTTATCAGTGCAATGTTTTTTTTTTCAAAAAGAGAAGAATATTGAAATTTTTATCAATTTTTAAAATTAAAAGAATCTTATTGTACTTATTTTGCACTCTCTTTCCTCAGGATATTAATAATTTTCAAGATTACAAATAAGAAGCATGAATTTTATTCAAAATGTAAATTCTGCATTTTTTGCAACTGTATATAATTCGTATAGTATGCAAAAGTATTGTAACTATACATTTTATATATAAGAGTCTATAACTCTAATCTATGTTTTTTTGTAATTATTATATTTGAATTATTATATTTGTTATTATTTAATATTTGATTTTTATTATAACTATTAACAAGAAATTTTCATGACTCAAAATTTATTGTATAAATAGATATTCTCTCCCTTTTGAAAGTATGTATAATTGTGGTGTCTCTTATATTAGTATTATATACAAGTTATTAGTTATTTTAAAAAATTTTATTATTCCTTAATTTTATAATTCTTGGATTGTAAAGTAATTAATAATTATTTTTTGTATGTAAAATTATATTTATAAATAATTATCTTTTGTATATAAAATTATATTCGGGAACATTCATTATTAGGAGTTGTTCAAATTTAATATTGGAGCATTAAATTAAATTATTGGGAGTTATTCAAACTCTTTTAAGAAATTATTAGACTTTGTTTATAGTATTATAAACTTTGTTTTACGAGACAACTTATTTGAGAGCCTTATATTGGTATATGTGCACGAATTTATCGTAATTCTTGAATGTATTTGACTAAATTTCATTTTTTTGGATCGTAATTCGCGTTTATTAAATCGGATAAGTTCCAGTATTTATCTGGTGTCTCCGTCGAGTCATTTAATTGTTATCGTCATGCAAACATAAATGAAAGCAAATAGGATGATACGCAAAATCAAGAGGTAAGGTAGATTCGAATCACTTGGTGTTTATTCAGTTTCTTCAAGGAAAGGAAACGTGAAGAATCAAATCCTATCATTTAAATCGCGAGTTAACGAAGAGAAGTGCTTACTGTGATTTCTTTACGAGATTTAAGCTGTTAATTTTTTCGTTATAAATTCAAGTTTTTTAAATTAGTGATTAATGTCTCAGATTCGCGTGTTTGTTTAAGTATTATCTTATGCAATATAAAACTCGTTAATTCGATCATTTTTGTATTCGATTATCCATTTTCTCCCCCCTCTCTCTCTTTCTTTTTATCTCTCTCTCTCTAACATATAAAATATATCAATCAAGTCTAATCGAATTGATTAGCAAGAAAAAAAATAAATAAATCAATAATTTAAAAAAATACTGTATTAAGAGAATAGTAAGTAAATAAGTTATTAATTATATGTACAATTTACAAAAATCTCAAAAGTGGCTAATTAGATTAAAATAATCATGTTGCAGTGGCGATAAAGAAAGTGAAAGAAAATGTCATAAAAATCGTGTTAGTTTATCGCGTGTGTCTTAATTATTCATATGCGCTCTGATAACTTTACGTTTATCAGTCGGACGCGGATACAAGCGGTCACAGTTACTCGCACCCTTCGGAAGCATCGCGGAACAAGCCGATTGTCCTTACGGATGTGGACGTGAAGGAGGAAAATCCTTATCTCGAATTATATGACCACAAATACGACATCTTTGTCGTTCAGCCTTCATCTCTAAATTTACTTGATCATTCAAATAAAGAGGAGAAATTATTAAAATAAAATAAGAACATACACATATGCCAATTCAAAATTCTCTATGAAATATTCCAAGAAAATAGGAGAGCTATCAATTTATTGCGATTGAAATTCGACATGAGGATAACAGAAAAAAAAGAGAAAGTAACTTTGCTTATTTTTCACTCGTAAACAAAGTTTAATTTGTTACTTACGATTCTTTTCTTTTACTCTTATATTTGTATCGTATAGATATTTTACTTGATGATTGATTTACTTGCGAAATTTTTCAGACATAGGATTCTCATGTTCGCGGACCATATTCGTCATTGTTGATAAACAATTCAGAGCTTCGCTTATCTCTGGCTGTCTTCTCTGTCAGATACGTATCGATCACTAGATTTACAATTATAAAGTATTGTATACATATATATATCCACATCTCCCGAAAGAAAAGACTTGCAAAAATGAATGGGCTACATTTCGCCTGCGTTAAACTCGCATTATGCATCTTCATAATTCCTAGTCTAGCTGTGCCGGAACTAAAATTGTTGCACGTTGTAAGTAAAAATTTATTAATATAATAATATTTATTAATATTTAATAATTTTTAAAGGTTGTTAAATTAATTAAAAACATAATAAGACCGATATGTTGTATATGATCGCAGTTGTTCGCGCATAAATTGTATGCGCCGAGCGAAGATGAGGGGAGAAACGATACAGACATCCCGGAAATCTTGTCGTATAAATACTTTACTTCCGCCACGATGAACATGTCATTAGTACGTATGATAACAATGAATAATTTCCGATATATGTATGAATAAAATGCGTATTTAATTAGAAGAAAATTGATGATTGTATCGTTATTGAACAGAAGGCAAATCTCAACATGTATAATCTTGGGGTATATCTGCGCGAGAGATACAATGAATTTTTAGGACAAACGTATATGCCCGAGATTACAAAGATGCGCACGACAGAGTATGCATTGTCAATAGTATCCTCTCAACTTGTCAATGCCGGCTTGTGGCCACCCGCGACGAATCAAATATGGCTCGAAGGCTTCAATTGGCAGCCGATACCGAGCGGTTAGTAAATCAATCGAAAAGTTTCTCGTTAATTAGCACAAAATAATTTTTTCAAATAAAAAATTAAAATATTTGCACATAATAAATTATTTTTTATACTCTTTTAAATTATCATATTTATTCTATTTATTTTATTATATAAAAAAATGGAGTAATGTATATAAATGATAATATGAAATACATATTTGATTACTCCGAATTGAACTCGTGTACTTAAAATACAGCTTATTATTACATAATAAATGACTAATTTTTGTAGAACTGAAGGAACTGAAGGACGACACATTGCTCCTGGGTTTTCTGTGTCCAAATTTCACTTTAGAAATGGACCAAGTGTTGCAAAGAGCTGAAACGCAGAAGATCACTGAACAGTATCAACTTTTATTCAATTATCTTTCCCGACATACTGGGAGAAATATTAGCACGCCAACGGACGTGGTACTCTTGTATGCTGTTTTAGAAACTATGGTGAGAATTGACTATAAAATTAAATCAAAATTAATGAATTTTTTTAAGAAGTTGAACAAACTATGTATTTTCCTAAATAATACTTTTAATTATATTAATATCCTTTTAAATAATAATAATAAATAATGCTTCTTCAAACACTTAAATGATACGTTTTAAATAATATTTCACAAATAAAATTGCTAAGATTCTAACTTATTAATCTTAGAGGGAAAGATTTGTAAATTCCCTTTTTTTACTATAAATTTCAATGGTTAAAAGAAATTGTGTAGTCGACCAAACTAGCCAGAAATATAATTTATTCAATACGACGTTTCGACCATATGGTTGTGGTCCTTATCAAGTATACACTGAAATAGATATATAAGTTGCAAAAAATTATTATTATTTACATCTAATTTTCGGTTTGAACCGTAATACGCACAATTAATTTAGTTTCAACATGAGATATTTTAAATATACATACAAAATTAGCCGAAGTAGTAGTAATCAGAGTGTCAGCATAGATAATAATCTTGTGCAAGCACAAATCACATTTGCAAAACTTTATTTTGAAATTTCAATTTTAAGAACAATGAGTCCGTGTGGGACCTCGTCAAAGACTAAACGCGATCATTACTTATGATCGCGTTTAGTCTTTGACGAGGTCCCACACGGACTCATTGTTCTTAAAATTGAAATTTCAAAATAAAGTTTTGCAAATGTGATTTGTGCTTGCACAAGATTATTATCTATGCTGACACTCTGATTACTACTACTTCGGCTAATTTTGTATGTATATTTAAAATATCTCATGTTGAAACTAAATTAATTGTGCGTATTACGGTTCAAACCGAAAATTAGATGTAAATAATAATAATTTTTTGCAACTTATATATCTATTTCAGTGTATACTTGATAAGGACCACAACCATATGGTCGAAACGTCGTATTGAATAAATTATATTTCTGGCTAGTTTGGTCGACTACACAATTTCTTTTAACCTTTGAAAATTCGACTAGCGATATTAAGCTTCTACAAATTTATAAATTTCAATCTTCTAAAAATGTTAAAAAATGTTAATACATTCAGAAGATAACTACATTATTGTAAATTACACTTTGTCAGTATAATACCGCGCGATTTTATATAATAATAAAAATTTCTTATCTCAGGCTGATCAAAATAAAACATTGCCCAATTGGGCGAAAGATATATTTCCCGACGGTGCCATGTACGATCTCACTTTACTAGAATATGACCTTTTTTCGACGACTTCTCTACAAAAGCAGCTCAACGGTGGAACTCTTCTAAAAGAGATTATCGGTAATTTGTTAAAGTACAAGATAGGCGATTTATCAAAGGAACGAAAAATAATATTATATAGCGGCGACGAAAGAAATATTGTTGGAGTTTTGAAGAATCTCAATCTCTGGTCGCCTCATATACCTAACGAAGCGGCAGCATTAATATTCGAATTATACATCGATAACGAGACAGATATTTACGAAATAAAGGTAACATTTACACTTATTTCCTTTATTCTTTTTTTACATATATTATTTATTATTTTATCTTACTTTTACTATTCCGCCGAATTAAGAATTTATTTATATATCATTTTATTTATATTTATATATCATTTTATTTTTAAATATATAAGAGTGACAACAATTATTTTCGCGTAAATTTTAATTAACATTGAAATTATTTCAGATTAATTATTACACCGGTATCGATAGCCCGACGATCTCTCTGACTCTACCAAACTGCACCGAGATATGCCCACTGCAGACCTTAATAAATATTGCTTTCGATTCGATACCGGAGAATTCACTATATTTATGCGGCTGGCCTATCAAGAATCTTACAAAAATGGAAGACCAAGGAGAAAATAAAGAAACCGATAATTCGAATCATAGTGGATCTGCTTCCTATGTTAGCGAGAAATTAGTATTAAGCTTTATCTTATACTATATATGCATTTTAACGTTTAGAGATAATTTCTACCTATAGTAGAAAGCTTTTACATAATATAATTTATTATTAAATTAATGATATAATTAATTAATAATTATATAATTATTAATAATGATATAAAACTTTATAGAAGAATATAAAATAAATATTTTTTAATTGTTAAACTAGAGGAATACGAGAAGAAGAAGAAGCTAAATGTAACACAACGAGTTGTATGTTAGAAGTATTATGTCATATTAATGTCATATTAAGTCGAAATTAATATATCGTGATATAACGAGTATGAAACGTTGGTGAATTGTATCAAATGTTTCACGGACGTTTCTGTAAATGTTTTTAATACGTTCATCCATCGTTTCTCAGTAGCATCCAGATCGAAGTGGTCCTCCAGTTCCTCGTTTTCAACCCTATAGCGCATCTTCCAAAGATCTCCGACGTAAAGTATCGCGTTTTCTGCACGTTGAAATTGTTTATCTCTCGATACTAATGTACGATATGTCCGTAGAGCTATGTCTAGCGTATAACATACCAAGTACAACTGATCAATTTCGATTTCTACAGTTCGTTCGTTCTCCATCGTTGCGTCGATCAGCACCTGTTGGAGCGCTTGTAACATCGCAATCAGATAATTGATTGTTTTGACGCATATCGACAACAGGCTACAAAACTGTAGAATTATTTGTATGCGATATATCCATATGAATGTCTAGAAAAAAGAATATTATTATTATTATTATTATTATTATTATTATTAATATTATTAATATTATTATTAATATTATTAATATTATTAATATTATTAATATTATTAATATTATTATTATTATTATTATTATTATTATTATTATTATTATTGATATTAATATGATTAATATTATTATTATTATTATATTAATATTATTATTATTATTGTTATTTATTCTAATACATATGATATGTAATATATATAATGCATATATGTATATGTGTACGTATTGCTTATTATAATATACCTATACATATACAGGGTGTCCCAGATCACCCGTACACCCCTTTTAAAATGAAGATAAATAGTAATATTTTATCAAAAATCGCGAACAATTTTTAAGTAAATCGGGTATGCTCTATCAAATGGTGATATTTTCAACTTTTGATTCCGACCGGAAATACGCCATCCAGATCGGAAGTTGAATTTTTTTAGGGGAATATGATACTTTTTATTACAGATTCGAATTGTACGTGAAAAAATAAGAAACTTTTGTATCAAACATTTTTTCTGAAAGTGCCTCTGTCAATCTTAAAATTGACCTTGAAAGTAACTGTAATGAAATAATGAATTGAATGAAGATTGACAGAGGTACTTTCAGAAAAAACGTTTAATACAAAAGTTCCTTATTTTTTCACGTAGAATTTGAATCTGTAATAAAAAGTATCATGTTCCCCTAAAATTGAAAATATCACCATTTGATAGAGCGTACCTAATTTACTTAAAAATTATTCGCGATTTTTGATAAAAGCCATTTATTTTTATTTCAAAAGGGGTGTACGGGTGTTCTGGGACACCTTGTAAGAAAGAATGCATCAATATAATAGATACATACAACATGACCTACCTCATTTAACTCTACACTTGTTATCATCTCATCCAAGGTTTCGATTATTGTGTTTTCGATTTCTTTTACGCATACATCAGGTTTCTTCTCCTTTCTAAGAATATCCACTATATTCAACACCGTGTTTATAGCTTGCTCTTCCAAACTGTCCTTCCAGCATCTATGTAAAGCGTATTTTTGCGCTGTCCTCTTGTCACAAAGCGTCGAAAGGATTACCTTGACTGATGTAAGAATTACATGTTCTGAATTCAATAATTCACTTTCTATAGTAAAGTTCAACCAATTGGCAGAGATCGTTCCATCTGTATTTTTCTTTTTTTTCTTTGTGAGATTCTTCGTAGGTTGCACCTTGCATTTCTTTGATGAAGATTGTTTTTTGACAGAAAGTCGTTCTTTACGTACCGGTTGCTGTATCACTGAACGAGAGGCCGTTTCTTTTTTCTTTTTGTGAGATCGCAAATTATAATGATGTTCGATATTAGCAACTGATGTGCACTTATTGGCGGATTTTGTTGTTATCGCGGTGTCGTAATTAAGTGTCTCAATTTTCGATGTACTGTATGCACTGTCATAATCTTCATGATCCTCTTTTCCAACAGCGCTAGAATCTCTCATCGATGTACATAAATTATTATCACTTTGATATTTGAAATTATCGTCATTATAATCATGTAAAGATTGTTTCGATTGCATTCGATCAGTCTGAAAATTGTTGTTCTTTGTGAGATTCTTCGTAGATTGTAACTTGCGTTTTTCTGACAAAGATTGCTTTTTAGCAGAAAGTCGTCTTTTACATACCGATTTTTGTATCACTGGAGGAGAGGCCGTATCTTTTTTCTTCTTGTGAAATCGCAGATTATAATGATACTCGATATTAGCAACTGATGTGCACTTTTTGGCTGTAGTGGATTTTGTTGTTATCGCGGTGTCGTCATTAAGTGTCTCAATTTTCGATGTACTGTATGCACTGTCATAATCCTTATGATCCTCTTTTCCAACAGCGCTGGAATCGCTCATCGATGTACATAAATTATTATCACTTTGATATTTGAAATTGTCGTCATTATAATCATGTAAAGATTGTTTCGATTGCATTTGACCAGTTTGAAAATTGTTGTTCTTTGTAAAATTCCTCGCAGGTTGCGACTTGTGATTCTTTGGTGAAGACTGCTTTTTAACAAAAAGTCGTTTTTTACATACCGATTTCTGTATCAATGACGGAGAAGTTGTTTCTTTTTTTTTCTTGGGAGATTGCATATTATAATGATGCCCGATATTAGCAACTGATATGCACTTATTAGTGGATTTCGTTGTTATTGCAGTATCATAATTAAGTGTCTCAATTTTTAATGTACTGTATGCACTATCATGATCCTCTTTTTCAGCAGCGCTGGAATTGCTCATCGATGCACACAAACTATTATCATTTTGATATTTAAAATTGTCGTCATTACAATCATGTAAAGATTGTTTCGATTGCACTCGATCAGTTTGAAAATTGCTGTTCTTTGTGAGATTCTTCGTAGATTGCAACTTGCGCTTCTTTGACGAAGATTGCTTTTTAATAAAAAGTCGTCTTTTACATACCGATTTTTGTATCACTGGAGGAGAGGCCGTATCTTTTTTCTTCTTGTGAAATCGCAGATTATAATGATACTCGATATTAGCAACTGATGTGCACTTTTTGGCGGTAGTGGGTTTTGTTGTTATCGCGGTGTCGTCATTAAGTGTTTCAATTTTCGATGTACTGTATGCACTGTCATAATCCTCATGATCCTCTTTTCCAACAGCGCTGGAATCGCTCATCAATGTACATAAATTATTATCACTTTGATATTTGAAATTGTCGTCATTATAATCATGTAAAGATTGTTTCGATTGCATTCGATCAGTTTGAAAATTGTTGTTCTTTGTAAGATTCCTCGCAGGTTGCGACTTGTGATTCTTTGGTGAAGACTGCTTTTTAACAAAAAGTCGTCTTTCACATACCGATTTCTGTATCAATGAAGGAAAAGTTGTTTTTTTTTTTTTCTTGGGAGATTGCATATTATAATGATGTTCAATATTAGTAACTGATATGCACTTATTAGTGGATTTCGTTGTAATTGTAGTATCATAATTAAGTGTCTCAATGTTTAATGTACTGTATGCACTATCATGATCCTCTTTTGCAACAGTGCTGGAATCGCTCATAGATGCACACAAACTATTATCATTTTGATATTTAAAATTGTCGTCATTACAATCATGTAAAGATTGTTTCGATTGCAGTCGATCAGTTTGAAAATTGCTGTTCTTTGTGAGATTCTTCGTAGATTGCAATTTGCGCTTCTTTGACGAAGATTGCTTTTTAATAAAAAGTCGTCTTTTACATACCGATTTTTGTATCACTGGAGGAGAGGCCGTATCTTTTTTCTTCTTGTGAAATCGCAGATTATAATGATACTCGATATTAGCAACTGATGTGCACTTTTTGGCGGTAGTGGGTTTTGTTGTTATCGCGGTGTCGTCATTAAGTGTTTCAATTTTCGATGTACTGTATGCACTGTCGTAATCCTCATGATCCTCTTTTCCAACAGCGCTGGAATCGCTCATCGATGTACATAAATTATTATCACTTTGATATTTGAAATTGTCGTCATTATAATCATGTAAAGATTGTTTCGATTGCATTCGATCAGTTTGAAAATTGTTGTTCTTTGTAAGATTCCTCGCAGGTTGCGACTTGTGATTCTTTGGTGAAGACTGCTTTTTAACAAAAAGTCGTCTTTCACATACCGATTTCTGTATCAATGAAGGAGAAGTTGTTTCTTTTTTTTTCTTGGGAGATTGCATATTATAATGATGTTCAATATTAGTAACTGATATGCACTTATTAGTGGATTTCGTTGTAATTGTAGTATCATAATTAAGTGTCTCAATGTTTAATGTACTGTATGCACTATCATGATCCTCTTTTGCAACAGTGCTGGAATCGCTCATAGATGCACACAAACTATTATCATTTTGATATTTAAAATTGTCGTCATTACAATCATGTAAAGATTGTTTCGATTGCACTCGATCAGTTTGAAAATTGCTGTTCTTTGTGAGATTCTTCGTAGATTGCAACTTGCGCTTCTTTGACGAAGATTGCTTTTTAATAAAAAGTCGTCTTTTACATACCGATTTTTGTATCACTGGAGGAGAGGCCGTATCTTTTTTCTTCTGAGATCGCAGATTATAATGATGCTCGATATTAACTGATGTGCACTTTTTGGCAGTAGTGAATTTTGTTGTTATCGCGGTGTCGTCATTAAGTGTCTCAATTTTCGATGTACTGTATGCACTGTTATGATCCTCTTTTTTAGCAGTGCTAGAATCGATCATCGTACATAGATTGTTATCGTCAATTTGATATTTGTCATTATTACAATCATGTAAAGCTTTTGATTGCACTCGATCGGTTTGAAGATTGTTGGCATTGTTCTGCTCCCGAGGTGTCTTACAGGAAACTGGAGACATTATTTGAGAAAAATTTATGTTGCTTAAATAGTTAGTAAAATTAGTGGAATTGTGTGAATCTGGCGTCCCCATTTTGCCAATTATATCGTTTATTGATAATGGTGTGCATTCTATATCACAATATTTAAAAATTGATTCGATGGATTGAGATCTTGCCGATAAAACGGATCTATGTTCATTCGAAATGCCAGCATCATTCTTTGAAGTATTTTCGTCTTCGATAATTTCATTATTTACTCCTTTATTGGAACGTTTTAATGACGTCTCTTCGTATTCAAAACTTTGATGCTTTTGCACATCACCACATTCTTTAATTAAATCATTCAAATCTAGCAAGGAATCTTCACTTAAATTCGGACTTATATAAGATTTTGATGAAAGTGCTTCTCTTTCTTTTTCATTTATCATGATATAATCAGTACTTGTTTCTAATTTCGAAAGCTGTGAGATTGTCTCATTTCGATCTGTCGAAGAGGATACAAAGCTGACCGTTTCGTTTTGTGTATTTTCAGATTCGGTATCTAATTTATATTTATCATAAATCACTGGAGATATAATATTACATGGGGAATCGAAAATACTCTTCAAACTCGACAATAATTCACTATAGGATTCACTATAGTTGAGCATCTCATGTACTGATGGAGTTTCATTTACATGAGGTGTTAATGACAGTTCAACATGAACATCTTTGCTATGTCCACTTTTATCATAATTATGATTATCGCACATATTGCGTTGCTCATCAAATAACTGTTGCAATTTTTCGACTGGTATCTGAGATATGCACGTAGTAACGGATTTCAGCCAAACTATAGCCTGAATAAAACTCATTTCACACGTATGTTGTCCTATAAAACTGGGTACCTTCCTATAAAACGGTGGAAATATAGTCGACGGTATTTCTGAAAGAGCTTTGCAACGACAGATATAATTATTGTGCGCAGAGTCTTCGTTGCGAATGTTCATATGAACGGGCGTAGAATCTCCTTCTAGCAATGTCTGTTTCTTACTGTTGATGCGAGGCAGAGTACAGTCTAAAATAAGTGATGCTTTAATTATTCCTTTAATACACTCAAAAAATAATAATAATTTCTATTTCGAATAAAATTAATTCTTTTACGTGCGGATATTTTTTTTTAAATTATCCGGGTCATTACCATGCGGAATTTGATCATCATTACGAGATTCTTCTGTTATTTGAAACATATTCATCTCCTTTAGAGGAATCTGAATATCTGACTTTTTAATCTCTATAAAGGCAAGAGAAAGTTGCTCAGTAAATTAATAAATTAGTAAATTAATAAATTGATAAATTAATAAATTGATAAATTAATAAATTGATAAATTAATAAATTGATAAATTAATAAATTGATAAATTAATAAATTGATAAATTAATAAATTGATAAATTAATAAATTGATAAATTAATAAATTGATAAATTAATAAATTGATAAATTAATAAATTGATAAATTAATAAATTGATAAATTAATAAATTGATAAATTAATAAATTGATAAATTAATAAATTGATAAATTAATAAATTGATAAATTAATAAATTAATAAATTAATAAATTATTAAATTATAATATATCGACAATGCGATTGCAAGTACTTACTTTTTCAGTTTTCTGCTGATTTCTTTACTTCTCCTTTTCTCTTGCGCTTATCATCGCTCCTAATAATTTCTCGCAATTTGAGATGTAAATTTAATCTATTCTTCGATCTTTTCCGCGCTTGATTGACTCACCGAATCTTCTCTTTTAAGGGAAAAAGTGAAGTATAGGAACTCGAGAAATGGATTTGAATTTTGCAAATGGCGTCAAGCTTATAACTCAACAGTTGGGCAACATTATTAGATTTTCCGATGTAACTCGACGCTGATTGGTCGGATCTGAAAGTAGAAACCAATCACGTTCGACCGCTGAATGCGGCCAATGACTGACGTGCAAGTTTCTGCGCAACGCGATTGGATTGTTTTCGACCAATCACGCGTTCAAAAAAAAATCACGCACGTTGCGACGAAGCATCGATATAAACGGGGCTTGAGACACGTGTTCTCGCTTGTGTAGCTTAAGGGGGATGAGGTTAGTGCGTAAAGTCCTATGGGAGATAATCGACTTTCGTAAATTTTTTAATCTTGTCATTCGCGACATAACCCGGCGAAATTTCAAGAATGGACGCGCTGACGCCGGGAAATTTGACGGGCTCGCAGCGGGAGGAGCTGATGCAGCAAGTGAAACATCAAATGGCAATCGCCAATGCCCAGGAACTGCTCACGGTATCACCGTTACATTTTTAAATATTTAATTTCTTTTTTAAATTGAAATTTTTTCGATATCACATCAGGTGACATCGACTGACTGAATGTTGCATGATTTTATTATTTGCAGAGAATTACGGAAAAGTGTTTTAAAAAGTGCATAAGCAAGCCGGGCACCTCGCTGGATACCTCGGAACAGGTGAATTTTCAAAACGTTTGACTTGGGAAATACGAAAAAAAATCTTCACAAGAATAAAAATTCCTTTTAAATCCTCAGAATTGTTCTCTAGAAATTTTGCGATGGTAGAGAGAGTCGTCATTTATATTAGAAATTTATTATTTCCCTCTTTCTCAGTATGAATTTTTATCAATTCTTCTAAAACAATGTATCGATATGATTGATTCTTGCTTAAACTGATGATATTTTTGTCCTTCTCTTATTTGCACTGAAACTGGCTGATTTGTTTTTTTCAGAAATGCATAGCAATGTGCATGGATCGATACATGGACTCCTTTAATCTCATATCAAAAACATATGGTGAGCGAATCCAAAGAGAGCGCAATAGACTGTAAATATAAAAATTCATGAAAATGTATTGTTATTTGGTATCCATATCTGTCATTTAATGGCACAATCAATGGGTCATATAGTGTTCATTAGTTATTACAGATGTACTTTTTTTTACGAAATTCATACAAAAAGTATGAAGTTCATGAACAGTCAAGCATAATACATTATCATTTTTCACATGAAAAATTGATATAATATACTACTGTAAATTATGTACGATACAATTAAAATACACTTGTAACATAATGTCGCTATCTATAATTAAAAAAATACAGAGAGAAAGAGAGAGAGAGAGAGAGAGAGAGGCTCAATTACTTTATTACAAAGTGTATAATTATATTACATATTTTATGTAGTAATAAAAATATCTTTGTTAAAATGCTGTAAAGAAATACACAGAATGCTTATTGTTATGACAACTATAATGGAACGAGCTGTCTTTGTAGGAGTGTAAATTAATGAAAAAAAAAAGTAGACAATTGCAAAAGAGAAAAATCTTTATAAAATAAATAACATATACATGTGTGTTGAATACATATTATTACATCATTATTTCAAAATCATAAATAAGTAACATAGGTGTTTTGTAAAACCCACAATATTCCACAGTATTCTTATATATTTTTGCATTCTTTATAATTATCTCATATACACTAAAAGGCACGGTATAGCTACCAATGTTTCAACGTGGTTACAAAATAATTATCTGCGACCATGATATTATAGAGAAATATAAAGCAGATTATATAATATATATTATTATTAATACTTTGTTTGCGTGAAATTTCAAACTGTAGATTATAAATAACTATGACTATAGTTACCTATTTATCTATCCCGAAAGTATCGAGCTTGTCACTCCATTAAATGTGCATTTAAACACCACTGTGTTTTATATCTGCATGCATTTTTCATAATAAAATTATTACTTCATTTAATGTATTACTTGCGTGTATCGGATATGTTTTTCTCATAAAAACTGTGTCAAATAACAGCAATATCAAAAGAAGATTACTGATCCCCGAGTATAAATAAATACAGTTAAAAGCATATTATAGGAAGTATTGCAAATAGTTTGCATGTGTTAATAACATCTTCCAAAATTTTAATCATAATCATAATACTTAAGCATTTTTTAGATATCTATGTTACAAATTAATCAGAGATTAATCAGAGATGCAAAAAAAAAAGAAAAAGAATTAAAAAAGAAAAAACAAGACAGAAAAATAAGAATGACAACAAAAAGAGATATATAAGCAACATATATAATCTAAATATACTGCCGTCCTACAGTTAAATAAAGTCCTTAAGAGTCACATAAATAGAAATGTCCGCACATACCCTGCAATGAATTCCATTAATAATTTTAAAAATTTGTTGCATGTTTCTTTGTGAATTCAAGTAAAACCTCTGTAATTGTTCTTGCGGTGAATATATAAAATGCTCCTTAAATTACTCTCTTACAGTCTATGAGAAATACTTATACCTGTAAACGTGCTTGCTAATGGTAACAATGCAACGACTATCTTAGTAACAATGGAATGTATCTATCTTCTAGATTATAGAGTGTAGGAATGTTCAAATGCAGTCCTGAATCCCATTCTTTGTAAAATTATTGTGTATCGATAATAGAATGTAACCACGCTGATTGGCCACAGGAATACACCTCTGTTGGTTTTTTCTTTAATATATATTAATCGGGATAAATGGCAGTTCGAACTAAGCGATTCCGTTACCGTGTATGAGTGTGATCGCTATCAAAATAAACATTTATCTCGCAACATTTATGTCGAATGTGATAATTCATAAATATACATTTGTATATATGTATAGTGTAGAGCAATAATTAAATACAGTATTATACAGGTATGTAGTAAAAAATGCTGCAAGTACTTGAGCACAATATTCCTTTGATAATTCGTCATTAACATCTAAATTGTTATACTGACGAATACTATTCAGTTTTGCTGAATTAAAAGTTATCTAAATTACGACGGAATTCCTTTGTTCGAACCAGACATAATTTTTTAATAACGATAATATTACTAGCCGTCAATAAAAATTCTTTTGTGTAAAGCTGGCTGGCTATATATTTTTTACAAAAAGATTTTGATTTGTCAAGCATTTAATTGATCCACCTTGAGTTGTACTTAGTTATTGCATTTTATATGGAGAAGTCACAAAATATCCATAAGTATTATTTTTTCTTTCTTTTCGATTTGGAGTTGGAATTAATGTTCTAATGTCTTCTGAAAATTAGTGTTCTAATCTATAGCTTTCGCTAAGTATAATTTCCTGCGAATCATAGATGCAAGAAAAATATATAAGCATCTAATCTTTTTTTCTTTTCCCTTAGATAATGTTAACTCTCATAAATAAGTTTTTAGTTTCAAACATTTAGCACCATTATGTTCGAAAAAATAATTTGATGGATTTTTTAGGCAATCCATTTCTAGACGGACGATTTCCTGATATTGTTACAATATCATATCTTTATATAAATGAGGTAATGGACGATGTTCAGTCATAAAATTAAGAATAAAGATATTTCAGTAAACACAACAAAATGCTAATAGATTTTCTAAAAAAAAAAAAGAAAAAAAAAGAGAAAAATATAACTAAGTTACTAAAGAAGCAGTAACTTCGCGTTTGACTCTTCTCTAATATTTAAATTATCATAACACTTGTATAATATGCTTGTATGAGTAATAATACTAGGCATATTTTTTATATAACGTAGAAGGTAGCCTGTCTGAAGTTAAATGAAATAAATTTATTTCAACATATATTCAACATTGTCAATATTATTTTTTTTAGAAATATAAAATAAAAACTTTGATAAAATATTGCCATTTTTTCTCTCATAATTGCATATCTGTGACAATAAAATTTCTCAGATATTTTTTCGTTTTCTTTGTTAGCATGTTATAATAAATACTACAAAAGATATCCTCCTTTTACGTAATAAATAATTAAAAAATACATTTTATATATAACTGCTTATTTATAACTAACTGATCATATTTCTTTTTCTCATTATGTAATATCTCAAATGACCTATGAAAAAAGATCAATGATACTTGTTTGAATATACATATTTTATGAACTATGACAGTTTTGGAACATTGCTTAGTTTTTTACAAACTATACAAAAATATTGTATCGTCTGTATTGAAATGTGCATTCAGACATTTTCCTTCTACGTTCCTTTTTGCAGCGCAACTTATAAGTATTGAGCCACAGCTTGGCAGTGCCTTTGTCAGAAACTATAAATTCAATTCTACAAACTCTTACAGTAGACGGCGTGGATATTCGCGATGCCCTAATAATAGAGTATCAATCTCACCAATGTTACATATAAGAGTAACATCTTTTTACAGTTCTTACAAAGGATCTGTGTAGTGACGATTGAAAATTACATTTCTTCTATGTATAATCCGCGGTAATACCAGTCGTAAAGTTTGATATATTCTTATCCGTATTTGTATCTTCGAGCTAAAATATAACGATTCTATATGTATATAGTTATGTAATTCATGCGGGAGAAAAATATATATGTAGTTGCAATTGTAACAGTGTCATCCTCCCTCTTGCGATCGTGTCAATTTAAATTTTGTTTACTTACGCAGGAAGTACTACTTAAGATTTCGTCCACTTCTTCGATTTCCTCACTTAAATCTTCACTACGGGCACTTTGAGATTTTTCCTCTTTTTTCATTTGTAACTTGACTGGACTATCTGTCTTGTCTGGTTCCTTACAGGGGCTTTGTTCGTTTGCACTACCTGATGCAGAGGACACAAAATCCTCTTCATAATTATCTATAACATCTGCAGCTGCAAAAATGTATTTTTTTAATTTTTTGTAAAATTAGCATACCACATATTATATGAAAAAAATATATATTTATATATATATAGGGTGTCCCATTTTAAAAGTTCCACCCTCATAACTTTTCAGGATCAACGTCGTTTGAAGGAAAACGACTTGGATAAAAGTTGTATGGCTTGAAGGGAGGCATAAGATGGTGCCATTAATTTGACTTTGAAGAGTCACCTGAAGGTCACGTGAAGATCACCTCTAACTTTTTAAATGGGACACCCTATATACTTTTACATATTTTTGTAGCTTGACTCAATAGCTTTCCAAAACACTAAAATAAAGTATTCTTTCATTGAGTACTAAAATAAAGTATTCTTTCATTGAGTACTTTTCCAATTATGAGACTTAAAATAATATCTTCATTTTACATAAACCATAAAATATCTAGTAAAATATTCATTTTTCGATTATCTTACATTAATACATTTATGTACAAAATAATGTGAAAAATCGATTGGTGTAAAGAAAAAAACATAGCTATTTTTAAGAAAAAATATATAATTATTAATTGCAAATTACATATTTTTTCTCCGAAAAAATTATGTGTTTTCTGTATTAAGATAAGATAATCGAAAAATGAATATTTTACAAGATATTTTTTACGATATATGTAAAATTAAAAAAATTATTGCAAGCCTCATAACTCGAAAAGTATTCAATGAAAAAATACTTTATTATAATGTTTTGGAAAGCTATTGAGGCAAGCTACAAGAATATGTAAAAGTATATAGGGTATCCCATTTAAAAAATTGGAGGTGACTTCACGTGACTTTCAGGTGACTCTTCAAAGTCAAATTAATGGCACCATCTTATGTCCCCCTTCAAGCCATACAACTTTTATCCGAGTCGTTTTCCTTCAGACGTTGATCCTGAAAAGTTATGAAGGTGGAACTTATTAAACTGGGACACCCTGTATACATACATACATATATATATATATATATATATATATATATATATATATATATTATATATATATATTTATTTATTTATTATATATATATATATATATATATTTATTTATTTATTATTTTTATATTAACTTACCAAGACTGATATCCATTAATTCCTTAAGATCATTGATGTTGGCCTTTTTACCATTCAATGGAGGTAAATCACCGAATATAGAATTAGTTTTTTGATTTATAGTTGGCAAGCTTTCTAAAAAAGGCTTGGTTTCATTCATTGTACTAACGATTTTGCGCTCACCACCGACGATAATCTCGTCAAAATATATAGTTTTGCTCAAGTTATTTCCCGCGTTAATCGGTCTCTTACTTTGTACATTATTCTCTATGCTTAATTCCAAACTATTTATACTGTTTTGTTTAGTTATATCTTTTTGATTTGCTTGTGTGTCGATCACTATAGAGTCATCAAACTTAATTAAGGACTCGGATTTATTGAATGGATTTATTCGATTTGATGTAACGGTATTATCAGTCTCCTGTGCCATATCGTTCATCGTCATGCATGCATCATGTAGACTTGTCGTGCTTTTATCAAAATTTACATTATTGTTCCTATTACCTTCAATTCCATTATCAATGTCCGTTGTGTTCTCCCTGAGAGAAGATTGACGCTTATCACAATTTGACGTATCTGTTAAAACGTCGGCGTCAGTCGGCAGATCTTTGCATTTTTTGTCCGTTATTGTCACGTTTATTGGAACTTTCGGACTCTGTTCGGAGAGGCTCTCCAACTTTTCGGAGAAATCATTATCGTTCGATGACGACACGGATTCATTGTGTATTATTTTGGGAACAGACACTTCAAACGTCGCATTTGCAAAATGTGTCGACGCTTCGTCTGTCTCATCGTGTTTTTTGCTACTTTTATTCTGTAAAAAAAAACCCGTAATAACAAAGTAACAAAAATATTACTAAGATATTCAAGATAATTAAATATTCAAGATAATTAAATATTACAAGATAAAATATTCTGTAATATTATAATTTATTATATCAAAATAATCGACTCGATTAAAAAGAAAATACCTTCTGTGAACTATTAAAGGCACCATTGATGCTATTTTTCAGTATTTCTCCCAGCAATGGCTCGGTTGAATCAATACCTAATTCTTCGCACAACTTATTTCTCCCTGCATAGTTATATTCCTTCCCTAAGTATGTCTCAGGATCATATACAGATATTGTATAATCAAGACCAAAGTATTCTAGGAACTCCCTAACCAAGGAAAACAATAATTTTCCTTCTGAATTAGACAGGTACTGTTTTACAGTTTTGTTGAGAAGTGGCTCAGGATTCTGAAACATCCAATTCAAACCTGTTAAATCATTCCTAATTTAATACATCAAATAATTAACGTGAATGAATATATCAATTACTAATAATGAATATATCAATTATTTATCAAACAATTTTTCTTTTAAAAATTTCAAAAAATATAAATCTAATTTTTTTTAATCATCTCGTGCATATCAATATATTTACACGAAATTTTCCAAGTAGTTAAATTTATTATTTTTGAAATTTATAAGTGTACATGCTTATGCTAAAAGTTAAATATATTTCTGAATAATTTAGATGCAGCTGACAATTTATAGAAAATTCTAACAATTGTACAGTATTTGATGAAAAAAATAATGCAATCTTTTTACTAATAATAAATATATCAATTATTTATCAAACAATTTTTCTTTTAAAAATTTCAAAAATTATAAATCTAATTTTTTTTAATTATCTCATGCATATCAATATATTTATACGAAATCTTCCAAGTAGTTAAATTTATTATTTTTGAAATTTATAAATGTACATGCTTATGCTAAAAGTTAAAAAATATATTTCTGAATAATTTAGATGCAGCTGACAATTTATAGAAAATTCTAACGATTGTACAGTATTTGATGAAAAAAATAATGCAATCTTTTTACTAATAATGAATATATCAATTATTTATCAATTTTTCTTTTAAAAATTTCAAAAATTATAAATCTAATTTCTTTTAATCATCTCATGCATATCAATATATTTACACGAAATCTTCCAAGTAGTTAAATTTATTATTTTTGAAATTTATAAGTGTACATGCTTATGCTAAAAGTTAAAAAATATATTTCTGAATAATTTAGATGCAGCTGACAATTTATAGAAAATTCTAACGATTGTACAGTATTTGATGAAAAAAATAATGCAATCTTTTTGCGCAAAATAAATGCAATAGGGGTGACACATACAACGTCCGTGTATTATTTATAAGTGAGACACCCTGCATGTATCTTGCACGCATGAAAACCCATTACGGTCGATCGAGCACAAAGAATTGTAAACAGGAAGCTCTCTTTTTTACGCTTTATTGCGGCACGCTCGAACGACACCTACCATAACCGAATCCTGTTCCTCGAGTGCCAGGAACACGCTCGCCCTGAGTTCCGCCTGCGAACATTAAAAGAGACTCGATAAGGCGACGAAAAAGCGGAGGGGATCGTGAATTAATTTTCTAATCTACTCCTCGCAAGAAACACGCCTAACCTACAGAGTAACTCGTGTATGTATATTTTTTTTTTTTCACGCGACATAGCTTTCCCAGGACGCACCCGTATCTTGGCGAGGACGCCGTTATTCTCCAGGGTCTGGACCACCAGGTCCCGTAACTCCGTGTCCTCTTCCATCGAGATGTTCCCGTCTATCATGATTACAAATAAAAAAAAAATGCGCCAACGAACACTCAAGAGATGTAAATATTTACGCTTTCCATCGCGTGTCTACTTTTTCGCGGATGCGACTCCGCTTAGGGATCTTTTGTCGTCCCGCGATGTCTGGGGATTTTCTTCTCTTCAAGTCGGCGGATCTAGAGACCCTCCGATAAGACACTGGCCACTTTTGATTGGTCCGCCATTATTATGCGATTCCCGCTTATATTCAAATTTTAATAATCCTATTTTGAATATAAATAACATTTATTAATAATAAATATTGTAAACAATGAATATTATATATATAGATAATATATAAGAAATATTATATAAATTATGATACATTTTATTTAAATTTAAATATTAATATTATAAATAATAATAATTATTATATTAATATTTAAATTTAAATAAAATTTATTATCATAATTTATATGATATTTCTTATATATTATCTATATATATAATATTCATTATTCATAATATTTATTATTAATAAATGTTATTTATATTCAAAATAGGATTATTAAAATTGGAGCACCAGGATTTGAACACTGCATTTTAAATCGATCCGCCTAGAGACCCTCGTCTTTATCATTATAATTATTATTATTTGTAATATTAATATTTAAATTTAAATAAAATTTATTATCATAATTTATAATATTTCTTATATAATTATATATATTCTTATATAATTATATATATTCTTATATAATTATATAATTTCTTATATAATTTCTTATAGAAAAAAGATGAAATATATCTACACATATAAATTTCATATAAAAAAACGTAATTTTATACACATAATTTGAAATAAAAAAACTTAATATAGTACTCGACTTATATCGATTTCTGTCTTTCAAGCTATTTTTCTGTAAAAATACAATCTATATAAAGGATGCCAAATAAAAAATTTATTAAGTATTTTAATCAGATTTTTAAATTTATTGATTCTATAAAAACCAATCTTATCAATTTACTTATGAAAATATTATATTATTGAAATATATTTGAAATATTATTGAAATTCGAAAAACAGCAAAAGTATTTTAACCGGATATTTAAATTTATTCCTATTGATTCTGAAAAACTAATCTTATTAATTTACTTGTGAAAATACATCTCTAATATTGTTTTTAATACTATTTACATTCATTTTATCGAAATTGAAATTTGGAAAACAGCAAAAGTATTTTAACCGGATATTTAAATTTATTCCTATTGATTCTAAAAAATCAATCTTATTAATTTACTTGTGAAAATACATCTCTGATACTGTTTTTAATACTATTTACACTCATTTTATCGAAATTGAAATTTGAAAAACAGCAAAAGTATTTTAACCGGATATTTAAATTTAATTCTATTGATTCTAAAAAATCAATCTTTTTAATTTACTTTTGAATGTACATCTCTGATACTGTTTACACTTATTCCAGCATCTTATCGAAATTGAAATTCGAAAAACAGCAAAATTCATTCGCCAAATTGTTCCTGTGGCCTGGAGTAAAATCACACCTTTTGACGTCCAATAATCTTTCTGCCAATTCTGTCATGACAGCTCCTGCACATGCAAAATTTTACTCATTCTTACATTGATACATAATTGGTATGCGATAAAAATTACAAAAATACAGTTATATATATACCTGTGCAGAGCACAATGTTTTTCTTCATCAAGAACTTTATCGTTACTGCTGTTTTAGTTAGACATTCGGCCGAAAGAAATGGCGGATCTGCTATGACCAAATCAAATTGACTAGACATACATTTGGGCACATTTAGAGGGGACTTGTAATCGTACTGTATAAAATCCACACCAAATATTTTGAAACGACTGTCATATTCAAATAATGTAACTGCAATCAAATATATATATTTACACAAAGAAACTTCTCCACAAGTATCACTTATATTTTACATCATGCACAGAATGCAAATACTTATCGTACTTTGTCTTTTATCACATTCTTTCTTCAATTTACTGTAAAGTGTTGGACAAGAAATTAAAGCAATTTTTCCATTTGCTGGTGTAGAATTTAATGCACCTCTAACAAGAGCCTCTATTGTTTTGTCATCGTACCAAAATTGACTCAATTGCTGCAATATTAATTATATGTCAATTTCTTCAGAGAATCAAGAATATTATTATATATTATTATATATTATATTATATATATATATTATAACTCACCCAATTTTCATCAAACAGAATATTCGATGGTATCTGACCTTCCTCAGATACAAGTTCCAGCAAATTCTGTTGCTCAAATCTTTCCTTGCAAAGAAATTCTTGCAATGCAGCAAGCGTACTCGAGCTCAATTGCGGTTCTTCATCATCACTTTCATACATAGTTTACAATAATTCACAACGTAGAGATTATCTCTACGTAAAGGGCTAGAAATAAAAATAATCACAGATGATTGATTGAAAAATTCTCGAATTAATAACAATCAATAATTATCGTCACTATTTATTATATTTTTATACGTTACCGCTTATTAAAATAATTTTCCTCTTCTTTGGTCTTTATTGGCCAACGTATTAAGATAATCAATTTGTTGTGTTGATCATCAACTTGCAAAAATTAACTAGTGTGGTTTTTTATTTATATAGATTGAATATCTTAATCGTAGCTTTATCTTCAAATGTATGTCTTTTAATACTTCTCTGCAAATAACCTGTTTTTCTTTATTTTAAAATCTATTGACTATGTATATCATACAAAGTGGAAATAATTTATTATTTTATTCTTGAACTTAGCTGTACTTTTCATTCCTCCGCCTTTTCTAATTTTTAAATACAGATCTATCTCATTTTTAGTGTATGTAAATTAGTACACATATGTAAATATAGAAGCAATTTTATTACTATACCGGCATCCTTTCATGGCCGGCACATTAATCGCCACAAAAGTTTAGAAATAAAATCAATTTGCGAGCCAGAGTTGCGTAGTAGACGCATTTCGTTTCAAAATAAACCAATCAGAGGCGAAGATTCTTTACTTTGATTGGTCAATCAAATAGTCAAATTTCGAAACTTTCATAGAATCAAGTAAAAAAACAAAAAAAATAATAATTAAAATAATAATTAATAACAATAATAAAATAAATAAAAATTAAATAATAATAATTAAATAATAAAAATTAGAAATTAATAATAATTAAATAATAAAAATTAGAAATTGGATAATAATTAAATAATAAAAATTAGAAATTATAATAATAATTAAGTAATAAAAATTAGAAATCAATAATAATTAAATAATAAAAATTAGAAATCAATAATAATTAAATAATAAAAATTAGAAATTAATAATAATTAGATAATAAAAATTAATAATATAAAATAATAATAATATAATATAATAAATAATTGGTAATAAATTAATAAATTAATTGGTAATAATTAATTGGTAATAATTAATTGGTAATAAATTAATAAATTAATAATAATATAAAATAATAAATAATAATAATATAATAAATAATTGGTAATAAATGATAATTAATAAATGATAATTAATAAAAATTAATAATAATAATAAATAATTTCCTATGTTTATTAAATGATAAATAATGTCCCAGTATATCCGAGTTGTGCCTTTCTTTTTACAATTTTATCCCTATCCTTACCTCTCTTCTCTCTCATGCTCTTATCATTCAAGAAGAGGCTATGAATGCACGTGCATGTGATTGCATGTGAATGGCATGAATGGTACGATCGTGGTCTATTCGATAGAGTTTTATTTTGCAAATAAGAAGAAATAAAATGCCGGCGGGAAACGAGAACGACGTGAAACTATTTCAAACGATCGGTCTGAGTGAGCAGAAGGCTAAGGAAACTTTAAAAAATGGAAACGTCACGAAGAATCTCAAACTGGCCATAGATGAGGTTAGTAGACTGATTCGATCTTATAATAATTGAATCTTAAATTTCGCCTAGATTGTATTTTCTAAAATTAAATTTGAAAATAATAATAATAATTAAATTCGAAAATATAAAACTCTTGTAAAATAAAAAAAAATGAGATCCGTCGTATTCTTGCATCATTGTTTTTTTATTTGACCTACAGTTGCGTCATATCTAAAGATTAAAATACTTTAATCTCTTAAAGCATATAAACATTTTAACGATATTTAGAAAACATGAAACATCTTTGAGATGCCTTTGAGGTGTTTTTTTAGACACATGTATTGTCTGCATATATTTGTGTGTAACATTAACTATAAGTTATTTGTAAACATGTTTAATAAAAAACATAAAATTTTTTCTTTATCTGTATATTTTGTTCCTTTTTTCTCTTTTTATTTCATAGAAATTTTCATAGATTTGCATATTTTTTCAGGTTTGATAGATTTGCATTTTGTGCTTAATTTTTACTTTTATTCTATAGGTCATTTTGAATATTATACTTCTTTGATAACAATAAGTTATGCAATTTTATAAGATAAATTAATATATTAATATATTAATTAATAGAATAATTAATATATTAATTTATAATAAATAGACACATTCCATGCCAAATATATAACATATAATAAATATTATAAGCTATAAATTATAAACTAAATTATTTCTTTGGCAATATAAGATGCTTTGCAATTTATGTGGCATGAATGATTGCTTCGGCATGGAATGTGTTAACAAGAAAACATATAAAAAACGTATGAAAATTTATTTAATGTTATAGGCAGTTAAACATGGTCCTGTTCCTCAAGATATTGGCGTTTTACTATATCATCTAGCTTCCAAGATTAAAAATCAAGTTGTAGATAAGATACCATTTATTATTAATTATATAAATGAAAAGAAGCTGGATACTGTGCAGAGAATTGATGCTGCATTGAGTTATCTGCTGGCTAATTTAAATAATCCCCTCAATGTAGCAGAATTTGAGGAGTTTTGCGGTATAGGAGTGGTAGTTTCACCTGAACAAATAGAGGAGGAAGTAGAGAAAATCATAAAAGCACATGAAAAAGAGATAATAGAAAAGAGGTAAATAAAATATTTAAAAAATATATATTATTTCAATTTAATTCTCCAATAATATATGTATGCAATATATTTAAGTGAAGAATTAAATATAAAGAAACAATATTAGATTGCCATAAATAATTACAATATTTTGTGTTACATTTATATTTTAATAGGTACCGCTTTAATTCTGGTCCACTGATGCAACAAGTACGCAACATTCTAAAATGGGCAGATGGTAAAGCAGTAAAGAATGAATTCGATATTCAACTCCTCTATCTATTGGGCCCAAAAACTGATGCTGATTTCATACCAGTGTCTAAAATGAAACAGCCAAAAGATAAACAAACAAAAGCTAAAAAATCTGAAATTGTAAAAGAAGGTGAACTATAACAAAACACTGCTTGTGTATAATATTAAAAAAATATTTGGAATATTTATTTCCAAGATTATGTGACTTCTCTATTTCAAAAATTGTTAAAAATTTTAGAACAGAAAGAAGTATCGAATGGAGAAAGGATAGAAGCACAAACTATAAGTGAACTCATGAAGACCAAGATTCACTTTCATAAACCCGGGGAAAATTATAAAACCGAGGGATATATCGTGACGCCAAACACGCATCGTCTATTGCAGGAACACTTGAAAGCAACTGGTGGTAGAGTGAGAACTAGGTTCCCACCAGAGCCTAATGGAATTTTACATATTGGACATGCAAAGGCTATTAACATCAATTTTGGGTATGTGACACTATATTTGATCTTGCACAAGTCGAATATATTCTGATATATTAAAAAAATGAAACTCACAGGTATGCTGCTGCACACGATGGCATGTGTTATTTGCGATACGATGATACAAATCCTGAAAAGGAAGAGGAGAAATTTTTCACTGGGATACGAGAGATGGTAGAATGGCTCGGTTATAAACCGGCCGCGATCACGCATTCATCGGACTATTTCCAGCAGTTGTACAAATGGGCTGTGGAACTTATAGAAAAAGGCTTAGCTTATGTTTGTCATCAATCGAGCGAAGAAATGAAGGGTTTCAATCCTCCGCCAAGTCCTTGGCGTAATAGGCGGATCGCAGAGAGTTTGCAACTATTTAATGTAATGATGAAATATTTCTTCTTATTCTCAAATGTATTTTCTCGATTATTCTTATATATTCATCTATCTTATTCTAAAAAAAAATAGGATATGAAAGATGGTTTGTTAGAAGAGGGAGAGGCAACTTTGCGCATGAAAGTGACTTTAGAGGAAGGCAAGCAGGATCCTGTCGCGTATAGAATAAAATATTCACCGCATCATCGAACCGGTGATCAGTGGTGCATTTATCCTACTTATGATTACACTCATTGCTTGTGCGACAGTATGGAAAATATCACTCATTCTCTCTGCACGAAAGAATTCCAATCGCGAAGATCATCCTATTATTGGCTTTGCAACGCCTTGGACATTTATTGCCCTGTGCAATGGGAATATGGGCGATTAAATGTCAATTATACTGTAATTTCTAAAAGAAAAATTGCCAAATTAATAGAAGAGGGAATAGTATCAGATTGGGATGATCCCAGGTTCAGTATATATAAAATGAATAGTAATATATAGATTTCTAATAATCTATAATATTAATGTATTTTACATACACATACACGTAAACATATATATACTGTTCTTTTTACAGATTATTTACATTAAGTGCACTACGTAGACGTGGATTTCCGCCAGAAGCCATAAATAATTTCTGCGCTCAAATGGGTGTAACTGGTGCACAAGCGACCGTCGATCCAGCAGTGCTGGAAGCATCTGTTAGGGATGTCCTAAATCTTACAGCTCCGCGATTTATGGTTGTTCTAGAGCCCATTAAATTGACTATAAGAAATTTCCCTCACAAAAAACCTCTAAAATTGACTGTACCCGATTTCCCTAACGAACCAGAGAGAGGACATCATGAAATTACATTTAATGAAATCGTATACATAGAAACCTCGGACTTTAAAGAGGTATATTTGAATGTTTTTGCTCGTAATTTTTTCTAGAAATTTTTCATACTTGTAGTTTTATTTAAATACATGTTTGTGTGGTTGCAGATTGAAGAGAAAGGGTTTAGACGCTTGACGCCGAAACAACCTGTAGGTTTGAAGCACGTAGGCGTCGTGGTGACGTTTGAAAATATCGAGAAAGATGCCAGTGGCAATATCATAAATATAACGGTTAGACAAGATCCTGTTTCAGAAAACAATAAACCAAAAGCGTTCATACATTGGGTGTCAAGTCCAGTATTGGCATCTGTTAGATTGTACGAGCGTTTGTGAGTAATGTTTTTTCTTTAAACTATTAGCTATGAGAATATTATGTGAATTCTGATATGATTAAGATGATTTTTAATTTTTCAGATTCAAGCACAAAAATCCTGAAGATACAAATGAAGTGCCCAATGGATTTTTAAGTGACATTAATCCCATCAGCAAAAAAGAAATTGTAGCATATATGGATGAGAGTTTATCTAAAACGGCAAAAGTGTACGATAAGATTCAATTCGAACGTATAGGCTTTTTCTCGGTCGATCCCGATACCAAGCCTGGAAAGGTAAATGTGTATATATGCAAAATTACATTTAACATGCACATTGCATTAACATGCTTTTGTTTATTTCAGCTTGTTTTCAATCGCACTGTAACGTTAAAAGAAGATGCAGGAAAAATATAAATGTATTTTCAGAGAAAGTTTTATATTAAACAACACCAAAAGAGAATAATATTTGCTACTACTTTTATCATTCTTTTTATACTGTTTATGAAATGTGAGCCAAAAGACCATATGCTTTAGTAAATGATGATAAATAATTTTATTTCATAGATCTTGTTCTTCTTAGTTCTTTGAAATATATATATTATATATTTATATATAACACATATATTTATATATTTATATATAATCATGTTATTAGTTTTCAGTTTTTCAATTTCAAGCTGTAAACTGTTAATAATATGATAAATATTTTTGCAAGATATGTGATATATTTCTTTTCATTATATATTATTTTATGTTCCTATATTATATATATATATAACTTGTCAAATTGAATTTTATATATGTATTTTCACTTTGTAATAATTTCAATTCACGAATATCGAATAAATTTAATATACTGATTGTAATGTTATTTTCTATTAAAATCCATGTCTATTTATTCATTATACAAGATTCATAGGTAGGGACCATGTACTTGATATTTATGAAAGCATCTTCACCACCATATCTTTCTAGTACTTCAAGCGTTTCTTGTATAATATCCGCCGCATTCTCTCCTCTTTGTTGAGAATAATCAATACCCTCTCCAAGATTTACTAGAGAATCATCAGAGACTTCAGTTTTATTTTTATATATCAATGCAAAAGGCGAGTTAAAAGGATATATACTCACCATTTCTGTCTTTGAGTAAATTAGGAATAGGTAAAATTTGTCTAAAATATGGAACTAAAGCTTCACCAACACAATCTGCCGAACGTACTAAACGTTGAAGTGCTTTCATAGTGGTGCAAATTATCTCTGGCATTCTTGTATTCAAAGCATCTAAAGTTTTTTTTTCAATAATAGTATATATAATTTATCTCTTTTAGACAAAGTCTTGTTTACAGGACTTACTCTTGATAGGTATGATCAGTTGAGGAACAACGGGTAATATTTTTGGGCCACCATGTTCCAGCATATCTGATATACCCTGCTCCACTAGAAATTTATACGGTTGTTCCGTTTCGGTTAATCCATCGAAAAACATTGGTAGATAATGATGAAAATCCAAATCTTCTATATCTACTTTCCAATTAATCTTTTGGTCATAGCCGTCGTTTTCCAAGGAGATAGGAAATACACCACGTTTATAGAACTTGCGGAAAGTCGACGGTTTCGGTGGACGAGGTTTGTACAATCCGCATCGTGGTGGTTTTGCAACGACTGTATTTTCCTGCATTAAAATTGACATCAGATATTATCGCGTGTTATATTCATTCTTATCACTTGATTAAGCATGTCACCTGCAGAGCTTGTATAGTGAATGCAGGGACGACCCGTGGCTTCCTCTTTTTATATCTCGGTATATCCTTCCGAATCTCCGTCCAAAATTCTTTCTCGTTTACCATTTCAATTATCACTTCGTTTTTTCAGTATTCAAATTACACATTAAATATTTACTTATACGTTAAACATATACTCCAATGTGACAAAAGATTATGAAAGTACAAATATGAAGTAGATTTAGATCAAACACATATTGTCTCCTAGCAACAAAATTTCTATCGACATCTGTTCATATCACAAGACTGAATTATATCTGTTTATACTATGGAAAGATACATAACTCAAAAAGTATATAATACTTCTATAAGTTGCACAAATGAAATAATTATACATATATAAATTAAACAACATTGCATCACAAAAATATAATTTCGTTTGTCTTACATATGAGTATCAAATCATAAAATTTAGTGACTATTGAAAGTAAAAAAATTTTTTCTGCTACAGTAAATATTTTTGTTTTTATAAAATATATTTTATGTGTACATCTTATTTTTATAATGCCTACAATATTGGACGGGGTCGTGGTCGCACAAGTCGCTTTCCATAATGAACTTGCTTGTGAAATTGTGGATTATCAAATAGAAGTTCCCTCTTTTGTGGTTCAGATTTGTATGCTGTGTTTAATCATTAAGGAAAATAATGTATATATTAAACATTATACAAATGTGATATATATTCGAAGAAAAATAAATTAATTCTTCACACATATTATAAATAATATGAAAAGGATATTTTTGAAGTAATTTGAACATTCCTGTGCCCACTGGAATTGGAATACCCATTATTATTGATTCCGATACACCACATATAGCATCTCTCTGTCCATAATATGCTGAATCAAATAGATGGTCAGCAGTTTTCTCAAACTGCAATAAACAAGTTATTTGTAAAAGATGTTTTCTTTGAAATTTTACTTATAGAATTAAAGAATTAATGGAATTAATTAATTCTTTGAAATTTTACTTATAAAATTAAAGAATTAATGGAAGAACTTAAAATTTATTAGATTAAAAAAAGCCATATAAATATATCATAAAATAGTGAAAAGTGGAAAATTTTTTACCGATGCAAGGTTTAAAACTGATTCTTTCATCTTGTCTAAGCCTTGTCTTGTAATACCAAGTACTTCTCCTCTACAGGTCATTAAATCTGCCAGAAGTATTAGATGTCGACGATCAACACTGATTCCGTGATTTTCCATTACCGATTTGATTTCTGCCATGATAGTTGTTCTTGCTGCTTCTATTCCGAGTGTTTTAAAGACCTAAAAAGTCATATAAATATGTTTTATTTAATACTGATTTCTCTAAAATTTGACTTCTCTTACTTCTAACGTATTATTCGACGTCGTCTTTTCGCCGTGGACGCCATATGTTGCCATAACTTCTCTAAAATTATCTCCCTCGACGAACAATTTCCATTTGGTTTTCCCATTAGATGTTTCATCATGTACAACCACTCTAGAAACTGATGGCATGCCCTGCAATAAATAAACATTTTAAGTATGTAAAATATAAAGAAATTTCTTTTTTTTTTTAAAAAAAGGTTTTGGAAAAATCTAAGTAATGTATTGTACAAGTATCAGAATGTTTGATGACTTATTTTAACTTAAATATTTCTTTGTATTTATCTTAAATATCTAAAATATTTTTTATATAATTTTAAAGTGTGAAATATATATAATATAATAAGATTACATCACTGCATTTTATATACAGGGTGGACCAAAAGTCTGGATACAGTCGAATATCTCGTATAGAATGCATTTTAGAACAAAATGATTTAGACAAAAGTTGTAAGAAATATCTAGTAAAAAATTTTTGGATTATTTTACCTTAATACTTTTATGTACAAAATAATGAAAGGAATCAATTAGTGTAAAGAACACGTAATTGTTTTGAAGAAAAAATATGTAATTGTTAATTGTAAATTACATATTTTTTCTTCGAAACAATTATGTGTTTTCTTTACACCAATTGATTCCTTTCATTATTTTGTACATAAAAGTATTAAGGTAAGATAATCGAAAAATGAATTTTTTCCTAGATATTTTATGGTTTATGTAAAATTAAAAAATTACTTCAAGCCTCGTAACTTGAAAAGTATTCAATGAAGAAATACTTTATTATAGTGTTTTGGAAAGCTCTCGAGGTAAGCTACAAAAATATGCAATGAAAAATAGGGGGTTCCATTTAAAAAATTCAAGTTGACCTTGCCTTAAGCTTGGCGACGTCACTCAATGTCAAATGGATGTTACAGTTAAATATATCTTTTTAATCCTTACAATTTTTGTCTAAAGCGTTTTGTTCTAAAATTCTATGTGAGATATTCGACTGTGTCCAGACTTTTAATCCACCCTGTATATAAAATCTACATGCACGCACGCATACATTTTTACCTTCACTACAATTTTTGGAAGTGCATCCATTAGACGACGAAACGGAAAATTGGGATTTTCTTTTTGTTTAGTTGGTTGAATAATAATAACTGAGTCACCTATCGCACGCACATTCTTTGGAGTCAGCTTCAATTTTGACGTACAGAGTCTAAAATTATAAATTATTTCTCATCACCCAGTCAAATATTAATATGAAAGATTATTTTTTTTCTAAAGAATGCATTATTAATTTAAATCTCCAACTAAATACTTACATATAACATATAGAATTGACATTCACTTCCAATTTCAACAATTTTATTTTTTCCATGTTTAATTTTATCTTAAGGAAATAATCCCCGCGCGTATATACTTGCTCGATACAGTCAACTATCTCTTTCAGTGTTGTTTTTTGAATTCTCGCTTTCACTCGCTCGGCACCTTCGAAATCTGTACCATCAACCTATAAAAGACAAGATCAAAATTAGATTAAAATAAAGATGTACATTTTACATAGGACAAACTTGCATAAGCTCGAAATAACACGCTTACCAATGTCGCTGTTATAATAGGAGTACTGATCTTCGGACTCGCATTGATAATTTCCTTAATACGCGGTACACCCTGAGTGATATTCATAGAAGCTACACCGGCAAAGTGAAATGTTTTGAGAGTCATCGAAGTTCCAGGTTCACCGATACTTTGTGCGGCGAGTGCACCTACGGCAGTGCCCGGTTCTATCACAGCTCTCATGTACTTTTCCTTGCACGTGTGTATAAATTCGACCAATTGCGAGACGGTAAGACGTTCGAGCTGTAGAACCACAGATGCTTTCGATTTAATGTTTTGCCGATAATGCGCTATCTTCTGTGCCACCGTTTTCATGAATTCACTGCGAAAAGAAGGATCGTATAACTTTCCAAATCTGCTGCGATATTCGAAATTTGAGCGATATATATATATATATATATATATATATATATATATATATACATATATTTATTTATATTTATTATATACAGGGTGTCCCAAAAGTCCCGGACGGATCGAATATTTCATAAAATATACACTTTAGAAAGAAATGTTTCAAACAAAAGTTGTTTCAAACATAGTTGTTTTTACGAAAAAAATATGTAATTTGCAATTAACAATTATATATATTTTTTAAAAACAATTATGTGTTTTCTTTACATTAATTGATTCCTCTCATTATTTTGTACATAAAAGTATTAAGGTAAGATAATCAAAAAATGAATATTTTACTAGATATTTTATGGTTTATGCAAAATTAAGAAATGATTTCAAGCCTCATAACTCGAAAAGTACTCAATGAACAAATACTTTATTATAGTGTTTTGGAAAGCTCTCGACGTGAGCTACCAGAATATTTAATAAAAAATAGGGAGTTCCATTTAAGAAATTGAAGATGACCTTTACGTCACCTTCAAATGATTCTCCAAGGTCAAATTATTGCCACTATCTAATGGCCCCCTTCAAGCTATACAACTTTTGTTTGAAACATTTCTTTCTAAAGTGCATAGTTTATGAAATATTCGACCGGTCCGGGACTTTTGGGACACCCTGTATATTTATTATATATTTATTTATTATATATATTTATTATATATATATATATATATATATATATATATATTTATATATATTTATTTCATACTCGTCGCACTTACACTAGTTCCTTTTTGAATTCTTCACTCAAGCAATCGTATTCCTCGGTAGATAGCATATCCTCTGTGGCGCTCATCACGCTAACAGCATCTAAAGGCTCTTCGTTCTTATAAGGCAACTTTGCTCTTACATGATCATACACTCTCTTATAATCCACGGGACAGTCTTTACCTATAAATACAGAACAGCATATCATTATCTTGAAGAACAGTATTCATTAGCTTATTAAAAAGTTTGTGCAAAATATGTAGCAATGTTTGCAAACCTTCCATGTATGTGGGATCCAATTTGTCACCACCATAGCATATTTGTATGATATCGCGCATCGAATTACGTACTGTCATATCATAATGAACGCACAGATCTTCTAAACTCTTGATTAATCGCCTTTGCATATATCCAGTATCTGCAGTCTTTACAGCCGTATCTGTCAGACCTTCCCGACCACCCATTGCATGAAAATAAAACTCCTTCGAGCCCAATCCAGAATAAAATGAATTTTTCACAAAGCCTTTAACGTCGGGTGTCCTCAACTGTGCTAAAACGTGAGGTAAAGCACGATTTTCGAATCCATTTGGCACTCTATGTCCATTAATAGCTTGTTGACCTACACAGCCTGTAAACAATTATACACACATAAGGCTCTTAGATATCAGGAAGGATTATTTATTTTATATTAATATACAGGGTGTTTCGTACCATCCATTTAAAAACTAGAGAAGTGGTTATTTCAAAAAAGTAAAAACATTTTCTTTATAAATCAGGTGCGCTCTATCGAATGGTGATATTTTCAACTTCTGGTTTCGGAAATAGGCGATTCAGATTGGAAGTGCATTTTTTTAAATGGAACCCTTTTTCGTTGCATATTCTTGTAGCTTACCTCGAGAGCTTTTCAAAACACTATAATAAATTATTTTTCCATAAAGTACTTTTCGAGTTATGAGGCTTATTTCTTAATTGTACATAAACCATAAAATATCTTGTAAAATATTCATTTTTCGATTATCTTATCTTAATACTTTTATGTACAAAATAATGAGAGGAATCAATTGGTGTAAAGAAAACACATAGTTGTTTTTAAGAAAAAATATGTAATTGCTAATTGTAAATTACATATTTTTTCTTCGAAACAATTATGTGTTTTCTTTACACCAATTGATTCCTCTCATTATTTTGTACATAAAAGTATTAAGATAAGATAATCGAAAAATGAATATTTTACAAGATATTTTATGGTTTATGTAAAATTAAGAAATGATTTCAAGCCTCATAACTCGAAAAGTACTTCATGGAAAAATAATTTATTATAGTGTTTTGGAAAGCTCTCGAGGTAAGCTACGAAAATATGCAACGAAAAATAGGGGGTTCCATTTAAAAAAATGCACTTCCGGTCTGAATCGCCTATTTCCGGCCGGAACCAGAAGTTGAAAATATCACCATTCGATAGAGCGCACCCGATTTATAAAGAAAATGTTTTTACTTTTTTGAAATAATCACTTCTCTAATTTTTAAATGGATGGTATGAATAGTCTGAAACACCCTGTATATATTCATATTGGTTTTATTTAAACATACCGATCATTTGCGAAACGTTGATGTAACTACCCTTACTTCCACAGAGTGCCATAGTTAAAGGAGTATTGGTACGATGCAATTCCTTCAAGCATGCTTTACCAACGTTATCACGAATTACTGAAAGCTCATTTAATATTTTCGTTTCCAGTGTTTCCTCTACTGAACATCCAGGTTGAGAGGCGAGTTGACCTTGTTCCATTAGTTTAATATATTCGTGGCATTTGGAGTAACTTTAAATAAATAAAATAATTTGAATTAGTTATTTATTTAAAGTATCGTTTATCGAATTAGACAAATTCAAATTATTCGTACTGAGTATTTAATATGCTTTCTCTGGCTTGAACAAGGCCTTGACTCGCTATGAGATCACTGAGACCGATAGAAATTCCTCTGTCAAAATTAAAATGATTTGTTAATCTTGTTAAGCGCCACATTGACGCAGTTGCATAATCTTCACCCCAATCACGCAGCAGAATATAAAATATATTTTGTTTCGATCCAGAACCCAATGTAGACACATCCATTGCTCCTGCCAAGAGCTCAGAATTTCGAATGATAACATCTGTGGATTTAATTCTGTTTAATAAATATTTAATAAATGACTGCAGTAGAATCATTAGCATTGTAACTTACAAGAATCATTAATACAAAATTCTTCACCAGTAGTATAAGTTTTGCCCTTTGTCTTTAAATTTGCTTTAACAGGACATTCAGGACTTGGCCGAATAATCAGACTGAATATTTGTTTGCCAGTCCACAACTTAACTGGTTTCAGAATTGCGGGTATAGGAAGGGTTACAGTCAAAGATGCGTCTGCACCGGCCAAGAAACAAAGAGCCAATTTCACCTGTTCTCTATCAAAAAAGACATCTTTTTGAGTCAAAAGATATCCACCAGTGATGAAATCTTGTGTTGCCGCTATTAGCAAATCGCCGTTGCGTGGCGTAACCAGATTGGATTTGTTCTACAAGCAAAGCATATAAATATAATATATATTTAAGAATATTTATACAGGGTGTCCCATTTTAATGGATCACCCCGAATAACTTTTTTAATTTTGATTGTAGATAAAAATGATTCAGACAAAAGTTGTATGGCTTGAAAGGGGACATAAGATGGTGTCATTAGTTTGATATTGAAGAGTCACCTGAAGGTCACGTGAAGGTTAAATTCAACTTTTTAAATGAGATACCCTATATGCTTTTGCATATCATGTTATATTCTTATAGTTCATCTCGACAGCTTTCCAAAACACTATAATTAAGTTAGTTTTCACTAAGTACTTTCCGAGTTATGAGGCTTGAAATCATTTCTTAATTTTACATAAATATCGTAAAATATCTAGTAAAATAATATTCATTTTTCGATTATCTTATTATAATACTTTTACGTACAAAATAATGAGAGGAATCAATTGGTCTAAAGAAAACACATAATTGTTTCAAAGAAAAAATATGTAATTTGCAATTAATATATTTATTTACATATTTTTTCTTAAAAACAACTGTGTGTTTTCTTTACACCAATTGATTCCTCTCATTATTTTGTACATAAAAGTATTAAGGTAAGATAATCGAAAAATGAATATTTTACAAGATATTTTATGATTTATGTAAAATTAAGAAATGATTTTAAGCCTCATAACTCGAAAAGTACTTCATGGAAAAATAATTTATTATAGTGTTTTGAAAAGTTCTCGAGATGAACTATAAGAATATGCAAAAGCATATAGGGTGTCCCATTTAAAAAGTTGGATGTGGTCTTCACGTGACATTCAGGTGACTCTTCAATATCAAACTAATGACACTATCTTCTGTTCCCCTTCAAGCCATACAACTTTTATCTGAAACATTTTTTTTACAATCAAAATTTAAAAAGTTATTCGGTGTGATCGATTAAAATGGGACATCCTGTATAAACATAATTCAACAATGGTAATTAATTGTATTGAGAGAAACGCTATAATTTACCGCTAATAGAACCAGCGCTTCTGCTTTCGCTTCCTCGGTTTGTGGTAGATGAAGATTCATCTCGTCACCGTCAAAATCCGCATTGTAAGGTGCACAGCAACATTCATTAAATCTAAATGTTCGATGCTTCAATACTTTGGTTCTGTGAGCCATTATACTTAATTTATGCAACGAGGGCTGCCGATTAAACAGCACCAAATCATTATCTTTGAGATGTCTTTCAACAATGTCACCATTCTGCAATATGTATGATACAATTAAAAAAAAAAACAAGTCTGGGGAAAAAATCTCAAGATCATTATATTAACATATTACCTTCAAATCTTGGGCGGCTTTTATCCGATTACCATACTGAAGGAATACTCTATTATTTTGAGAATTGTTATTATATTGTACATAATTCGCTCCAGGGTGTACATTTGGGCCATTTCTAACTAATGCACGCATTAATTCAATGTTTGAGGAATTAACTTTTTCAGGATATGTTAAAATCATTGCAATTTGTATAGGTACGCCAACCTGTGTAGAAAAATTCGACGTTGCAGATATCTTATATCATGTTGTATTAGATATTGTATTTTCTGTTTCATAATACTTGCTTGATCTATTCTAAGATTCGGATCGGGTGAAATTACTGTACGAGAAGAAAAATCAACACGTTTGCCGGACAAATTACCTCGGAAACGACCTTGTTTTCCCTTTAATCTCTGTACTATTCCTCTACCAAATTTTTTAGGCTAAAAGAGCATTAATGTATATATTATTGAGAAAAAGGTAACTGCAGATTTTTTTGGATATTATTTGTTAAAAGACTTACTTGCATGTGAGCAGGTATACCAGACATTTCGCTATTAATGTACAGACCACAATGTAATTGAAGATAATCCCATTGTTCCACATACTTATTGGCATTAACATTGGTTTGTTTATAAATAACTTCATTAATAAGAGATATTTCTGATAATTTCATTGTTAGATAATCTTCATTTGTACCAGCCTTTATATCTGATAAAGTACTAGGTCTAATACAAACAGGTGGTACAGGAATTCTCGATAATATTAAATCTGCTGGTACTGCGCATTTAGGATTCATTAATAACAAACAGACATCACTTGCTGGAATTCTTGTGAAAAGTTCTAGAACCTTAAAGAATTAAATTCGTGTAAATTACATACAAAAAAAGTATTGAAAAACTTAAATAGAGTTTAAATTCATACCATGTTTGGAAATAGACATTGATCAAATACAGTTCTGTGATTTTGATCTACTATACTTTTAAGCTCTTTATCCTGCTCCATTAGTGGGCCTAACTCAGCTAATTTTTCTTGAATAAGAGGATCCGTTTTCTTTAAGTTCTTATGCCTTTCGTATACAATCTTGAGAAAACCTGCTTTTTTAACAGGACCATTGTTTTCTTTACAATTTGGACAGATTGTCTTCTTCTTTGCTTTCTCCCAGATTTGTTTACGCAATCCTTTGCGCATTAAATATCCAAAATTTGGATTTTGTATTTTTTGCGAATAAAAGTTCCTTTCTTCAGTGGTTAATAAAATATGAGAGCAATTCTATAAAGATAATATAATTGATTCATATAAGAAGCAATTATGCGATAAATCTTAGCAAATAATTGGACAACATTATCACCTTGCAAATCATTTGTAAAATCTGGATGATAGATCTGAAGTGGCCGACATGAAAGATTGGTAGCGCCAGATCTATATAACCAAAGTGTCCCACACAATCTTGCAATATTTTGCCACATGTAGTACATTCAGTCCCATTAGAGCTTACTCCCTGCAAGCAAAAGCAATGAATCTTATATATAAATATCATATATAAATATTATATTATATATAAATCTTATTATATATAAATATTATATAATATTTAATAAATAATATCATATAAATGTTATATTATATTATATTATATATAAATCTTATTATATATAAATCTTTTCATAAATTCTTTGTTTCTCTTAAAGCAAAGATATAAAAGTAAATGTTATAATTTTTTATACCATGCGTCTGTCAAGTATTCCATGCATAAATGGAGTACGCTCCGTATCTTCATTGTACAAGTTTCTAGTGATAACTTGCACACTGGATTGCATAAGCATATTCTGCGAGTTGTCCGCCTCAAAAGATATATGGGAGCTGAATAAAGAACATGTATAAATAAACAGCACGTATTACAAGTTATATACAAAAAATAGCAAGTGATATAATTATCCAAGACTCGTGACATCCCTTAACTTCGTCAAAATAAATTGATTTAAATTCATAAATTATCTTAATATCGCTAATTAATCAAAGGTTTCCAATGATAAATTGATTTATTTACATCTCGTTGGCGACATTCGTCTCCCTGAACTGTTCCTTCACCATGTTTGTGCTTCTTTCTGCACGCAAACGATTAACTGTATTAATAATTATTTTATTAATAATATTTTAATAATAATTTTATTAATAATTAATTAAATTTTTATAAATACACGTGTTCTAGCTCTAGCAGAGAGAAACCTGAGAGCAGCCACCTTGCCTTAAAGGCGCATTCATACCTTCTTCTTCTTCTTTGGATTTTAATGGTCACCTCTGATCTGGGAGCGATCAGTATATTCAGGCCAACAACTGGTTTGAGCGAGAGAATAATGTAGTGAGTTAAAAGGTGATGTATCAGGCGCATTCATACCATTTCAATTCATAAATTATCTTAGGTCTTAGAAGATCAAAAAGTAGAAATAATGACTATCAGCAAGTTCTGATTGGCTTCTGCTTTTCTGTCAAGGTGTGAATGCGCCCTTATCCCATTGATTACGGGTGAGTGAAGTCCGATCGACCGCGTCACCAATTGGCCAATTCAAAATAGGACTCTCTGATTGGTTAATCGTTGCTGGTTCTCCTAAGGCACTAAGGGCCGGTTGTTCCAACTTCTTGGTAAATTTTACCCGATAGATAGTCTATCTTCGTCTCTTTTTTAGAACTTATCTGAAAAGAGACGAAAATATGCTACCTGTCGAGTAAAACTTACCAAGAAGTTGGAAAAATCGGCCCTAAATATATGAGTATTCTATACTCCGCCATTTTTAATCCATCCCCCCACCCATTCCTCCTTGCCATCTGGGCTCCGCGCTTCGTCACGGAGCTAAAAAGGTTATAGAATACGTATTAAACTTCGTTGTTGCGTTTTTGCTCTCTGCATTCTAAAAAAATCATCTTAATATCTATTGTAAACTAGTGTAGAACGTGGGAAGTGTTGGAGTGTTTAACAGTTATACCTAGGTAAAGTACAAAATATATTAGTTTGAAGAAAAAATTGAAAATATTTATCTGCAAATAAAATGTAGTGACGTTTATTTACAAGTTACATATTTGTTTTACAGCAAGGTTTTTTAAAATGTCAAAACGAAGCACCAATCGTAGCAACAAAAATATGTTGCTTCCTGAAAAGAACAACAAGGTAATCATCTTTTTGCCTGAACTGTTCATAATCATTTACATTAAATGCTGCAATTCATTAAGTATTTAATTTTATATTATTACTTCGCTTACTACTTTCTATCAAACGAGCCATAAAATAGGAAATTGATGTCATGCGATGTAACAATTTTTGAGTTTTCAATGTCCCTTAACATCGTTAAACTGGAATATCTAATAACTACTACATATTGAAATATAATAAATGCAAAGCAATCGATTTGTCATGTAAAATTGCAAATTTAATTTAGATTAATAAAATTAATGTAGTTTGCACTTTATATTATTGTCAATCTTTCGATTTTGTGTTTATATTTAATCTTCTGATATAAATATTTAATCTTCTGATATAAATATGATATAAATATGTAGTATAAACGTGTATACTTTAATTCATTTCAGAGCTATAAAGATGAAGATATTGTTGAACCAGTTTCAGAAGAGAGCATTTTGTCGATGATGGCAGAAAATCTCTGAAACAACAGTTGGAGAGACTACACATAATAATAAAACAGTATTCTCATTGCCCAGCAGTTGTCGAATACCTGCAGAAATATAATGTAAAATAATTCATTGATGTGCGATATTTTTAGTGTTTCATACATTTATATTGTATTGATTGTATATATTTGACATTTGGAATAATACTAGGTTTCTGTATCAAGTTTTTGTAATAGATTGCGAAAATTATTTCCTCAAAGTATTTACTATGATCAGAATTTTAGGAAACGTATGTAATAAATCGAATATATTGTAATGTACCAAACATTTCTTTATTTATCTATTATTTATGTACAATGTTTTTAACATTTTAACGAACAGCTTTAAAAATATATATTATATAAAAAATTATATGAAAATACATGTAAACATTATGTAAGTAAACTGAAAATAATACACTTTTTAAGCGGCTTTGAAAAATTTTTTATATTAAAAAAAATTCATATTAATATTTTAAAACATAATAATTTTTTATTTTATGATCAGAAAACATTTTAATTTGTTCTTAAGCTTTTGACCGTTTCAAACTCGCGGTTCTATAAATATTTTTCCGTTTTCTGCTATTTTCTGAAAAATTCTTGGTACAATAACACCGAACATTAAAAAAATGTTCGGTGTTATTGTACCAAGAATTTCACAATTTTTGTTTTCACATCACAACAATTTGGAAAAACAATATTGACGTATTTTACTAGACGTTCTATCAAAGTGAAGCTTCCATACATCAAGATATGCTCTTTGTAAATTTTGAACATATAATCGCAATGTAATATTAGATGAAACGTTTCTAAACATGGCTCTTTTAGGCCACCGTAGTTTAATGCACTGGTTTTAATTTTGCCCAATTATCCGCTCGATGAGTCTTCTTCTTCTTCTTCTTCTTCTTTAAGTTTAAATGGCCACCTCCGAAAAATGGTTGTGAAATTCAGGCCAACAACATCGATCAGTCTCGAACTGTGATTCTTCAAAGTGTTTCTGAAATAAGAAAATTGCTTATAAAGTGAATGTCCCTATTGGCTACAGTTATTCAAATTTATGTAATTTCTAACGGCGACAAATCTAAACTACATTAAAAAAACGATCCGTGATTCTAAACAAACAAAAAAGTTGCGTAAATTGAAAATTTAAGAGAGAGAAACTTACTTCGCAAGGATAAGACAAGTTATTTCGTAACCAAAATTTTCTGCGGAGATTATTTATCCATTGCCGTCGACGATCATCATCCGTAGGAAATTTGAACATTCGATAACCTTTTTCTGTTCTGTTCGCACAATTCCCCGCAACGCAGCAAGGCATTTTTTTACAGTATTGCTGATTTTCCGTTTTATACCACATCGTATATATGAATAGAAAAATGGAAATACTCATATTTTCTTTCTATCCTTTTTTTCAGATTCTTGGTCGAGCGGTCACCGAGGTGTGACATGTGGCCGTTATGGTCAAGTTAATAAAGATATATATGAATGGCACTCGGATAATTCGGTATTCATAGTCCGATCTAGAGAACCTCTAGGAGAGAGAATGGACAACTGATCAAGCTTTTTCATGATTGGCTGGCAGAAAATGTATCAATTTTAGCTATTGCGACGCCAATGCAAAATATGATGACACACAAATAGGACACACATATATTAACCTATTTGTGTGCATCATATTTTGCATTGGCGTCGCAATAGCTAAAATTGATACATTTTCTGCCAGCCAATCATGAAAAAGCTTGATCACATGTCACATGATCAGTTGTCCATTCTGTCTCCTAGAGGTTCTCTAGTCCGATCTTATATTTGAGATCGCCTTAAGTTCGAGCTTAAAATGCTACGCAGCTATTTGATTGGTTGAAAGAGGTCTTAAGTCAACCTCGGACCAGACTTAAGACGATCTTAAATATAAGATCGGACTATGAATACCGGCCAATATTTTTATGCTGGATTTATCTATGGCCGGTATTCATAATTCGGTCTTAGGCCGAGTCTACAATAGGTAATTTAAGCCTTAAGCCTTAAGAGATTGACCAATCACAGTCAAGTATGAAGAGAATACTCGATCGTGATTGGTCATTTTCTTAAGGCTTAGGGCTTAAATTACCTATTGTAGATCAGGACTTATATTCAAGAACTCATTCAACCAATCAAATAGCTACAATGCAGTCATTGATTGGAATGAGAGCTTAAAAGACAATCTTAAATATAAGATCGGGCTATGAATTCCTATCTATCTTATATTTTACATCTATGGGCGTACCTCTGTCGCGTAATTTTTGTTATTACATGTGAAAACGAAGCTTATCGATCGGAAAATTGATACTACATAGCAATTATATACAAATAAAACGCATGATCAAAGCATCTTATTGATAAAAATGCCGCGGGTATGTAAATATATAAGGAGAGTGAATGCTATTGGATTATTTCTTGTATGTTTCTTTATGTCGATTTTGTGTATCTTATCTTTATATACTTTTACAGGATATAAGATCTTACTTTACGTCGGTTGCGACTTCTCAGAAAAAGAACAGCGAGCCTGGTGCTTTAAAACCCCAAAAGAGGCGTGTAATTTCTTCGGACGAAGATGAGAAGTCAAAGTCACCTGCAAAACGTTCCAAGGTGTGCCATGTTATTGGCAGTAGATTATGTGCATTATTTTATTCATAATATAATTTATATTAAATTATAATTTATATAATTTATAATAGTTATATTAAATTATTATTGATAATGTGATTATTATTTATAATAGTTCATATTATTCTTTTCATCGCTTGTAATAATACAAAGTTATGATTAATCAGATTGTACAAAAAAAAGCGACCAAAGTTTCTGTCTTGTCTGACTCCGATGATGATGTAATTGTGATAAATAGTAAGGAAGATTTTACAAAATCAAGAGCAAACAAGAAAAATGAGATTAAGAAGCCACGTAAAGAAATCTCTTCTAGCGAATTGTTTGGCAAAAAGCCAATAATGAGAATAGAGGAGGCAAAAGTGAATAAAAAACTGCAGAAACTGGTAAATATTATATAAACAAAAATTAATAAATTAACAAGCAGTCTATAAATAATATTTGGATTTGTATATAGGAATCTGAATTTCACAATGATGATGATTTTGAAGCTGCACTTAAACAACTGGATACTTCGAAAGATATAATAACACAGGATACAAAAGAAGATAAAAATGGCATTGAAAATTCAAGTAATTTAAAAAATTCTGAAGCAACAATTAAAACAGGTTTGTTGAATTATTAAGTTATTTTATTAAATGTTCACATAAATATTACTAAACAAATTTAACATGATAAAATATTCCAGAGATAGTTCCTAATAAAAGCAAGAAACATGATACTTCTTTGGAAAAAAGTCAAACAAAAATGAATACAAATACTAAAAAGATGAAAAAATCTCCCAAAAAAAATAAGATACATTTAAAACTTATTTCTCCTTCAAAAGAGAAATTAAAAATTAATAAAAGTAACTCCAGCTCCAATGAAGATTTAGATATAAACAGTAAATATAATGATGACAAATTAAAAAAATTAAACTGGAACAACTTGACAATAAATATCTCGAAACAAGTTTCAGCTGCGAAAGAAAATGAAAGTATAAAGAAACAATCGTCAGATAGGAAGAAAATCGAAGCGGATTTATTTGAGGAAAGAATAGAAAAAAAGAAGCAGCGTGCTGTAATGTATGAAAAATATCTTCAGAGAGGAGGCGCCAGAAATCCCGGTTCAAAGGAAATTCCTACAGTAAGAAGATTTACATTCATATACAATAATTAAAGATAATTGTGAAAGAAAACATTTTTTAATAAGATAAAAAATCATCAATATTTATTTTATTATAGGGTGCACCAAACTGTTTAGCTGGTGTGAGTTTCTTACTCACTGGTGTTTTTGATTCACTGGAAAGAGATGAAGCTGAGCATTTAATACGGAAATACAGTGGTCGTACTGTGAATACCGTTTCGGGCAAAGTTAATTATATCATAGTAGGAGATGAAGCTGGTCCAGCAAAATTGGCAAAGGTACTTTTTTTTGCCCATAGATGCATATATGTTTATATATGCTTGTTATTTTTTGTTTATATGGATATTTTTAGGCCAATAGTTTGGGCATCAAACAAATATCCGAAGATGATCTCTTAGAAATGATTCGTACAAGACCAGAAGGTAAAACTGAAGATGTATTTATAACAAAGGCGAAATCAAACGCGAAGAAAATATTGAATAAATCTGAGGAGGATAAATCGCCATTATCAAAAGAAGAAAAATCGGCATCAACAAATTCGTACGATCTTTCTGAAAAGATAAATATATGTGCACCTGTGATACCAAAGCAGACATTGGATGCAATTAATTATTCGCAAGAGGTAAACTTAGACATCAGTATCATAAAATATATGCATAAATAATATAACAATTAAATTAAATAAAATCTAATAAAGACTAAAATATGATAAATAAAATATAATAAAGATTAAAATACGATTCTTTTTTATTATTCTTTTTCTAGACTACAAGCATCGGTTCGCAACCGTTAGTTGAAAAGTATAGACCTAAAACCATGAAACAGATTATAGGACAGCAAGGAGATAAGAGCTGCGCACGCAATTTACATGTGTGGTTGCGCGATTGGTATAAGAATCGCCAAAATTCGAAATTAAAAAACGGTAGTATGTCATAATGTATACGGACATTAATATTAATATAGGTTTTAGAGCAATTGTTATGTCTTTCATATCTTTTTTTTCAATAACTATTTTTTTTTAGAAAGCAATAAAATAAAATATTTGATAAATTGAAATAAAATAAGAAAATGAATCAAATTAATTGTGTTTCTATTTTAATAGGCAGCAAACAAACCCATGGAGAAAGTTTCAAAGCTGCTTTGTTGTCGGGTCCCCCAGGCGTTGGTAAAACAACAACTGTGCAGGTTGTTTGTAAAGAATTGGGGTACGATCTTGTAGAATTCAATGCTTCTGACACAAGAAATAAGACTCTCCTGAAAGAAGAAGTCTCAGGATTATTATCCAACACTACGATGAAAGATTATGTCACTGGTGAGTACATAATATAAAATTTTAAAATACCTATATCATTCTTTTATTTGATGCAGTGAATATGTGAACAGGTACTAAACAAAAGACCACAAGTAAGCATGTACTGTTGATGGACGAAGTCGATGGCATGGCTGGCAACGAAGATCGCGGAGGTTTACAAGAATTACTTACTTTAATAAAAAATACCGAAGTGCCAATTATCTGTATCTGCAATGACCGATTTAATACAAGAGTGAAGACTATTTCCATGCACAGCTACGATCTAAGATTTCACAAGCTCAGAGTGGAGCAAATCAGGGTATGGATAGTCTACAAAATTCCAACTTGAGTAAAATGTTTCTTATTTGATACAATTAATATATCAATATATTAATATACCTTCTTATATAGGGTGTCTCAAAAGTCCCGGACCGGTCGAATATTTCATAAACTATGCACTTTAGAAAGAAATGTTTCAGACAAAAGTTGTATGACTTGAAGAAGGCCCTCAGATAGTGGCAATGATTTGACTTTGAAGAGTCACCTGAAGGTCACGTGAAGATCACCTCCAACTTTTTAAATAGGACACCCTATATACTTTTACATATTCTTGTAGCTTGCCCCAATAGCTTTCCAAAACAATAAAATAAAGTATTTTTTCATTAAGTACTTTTCGAGTTATGAGGCTTGAAATAATTTCTTAATTTTGCACAAACCATAAAATATCTAGTAAAATATTCATTTTTCAATTATGTTACCTTAATACTTTTATGTACAAAATAATGAGAGGAATCAATTGGTGTAAAGAAAACACATAGTTGTTTTTAAGAAAAAAATATGTAATTTGCAATTAACAATTATATATTTTTTTTAAAAACAACTATGTGTTTTCTTTACACCAATTGATTCCTCTCATTATTTTGTACATAAAAGTATTAAGGTAAGATAATCGAAAAATGAATATTTTACAAGATATTTTACGGTTTATGTAAAATTAAGAAATGATTTCAAGCCTCATAATTCGGAAAGTACTTAATGAAAATTAACTTAATTATAGTGTTTTGGAAAACTCGACGTGAGCTACCAGAATATTTAATAAAAAATAGGGAGTTCCATTTAAGAAATTGACGATGATCTTCATGTGACTTTCAAATGACTCTCCAAAGTCAAATCATTGCCACTATCTGATGGCCCCCTTCAAGCCATACAACTTTTGTCTGAAACATTTCTTTCTAAAGTGCATAGTTTATGAAATATTCGACCAGTCCAGGACTTTTGGGACACCCTGTATAATTAACATATTCTTCTTTAGAGTGCTATGTTGTCTCTATGCTATAAAGAGAATATTAAGATGCCGACGGAGGATCTTAATCGTCTAATCGAGTCGACGAATTATGATATTCGACAAGTGATAAATCACCTCGAATTTCTCGGCGGTCGTACACCTCATGTGGAGGCGACCGACAAGAAGCATTCGAATAAGAACTTCAAACTCGGCCCGTTTGACGTTATAAAAATGGCATTCAACGCGGAAGAGCAAAAAAATATGAGTTTAAACGATAAGATTGGTTTATATTTCCACGATTACAACATAGCACCTCTTTTCGTTCAAGAAAATTACCTGAGTGTCAGATCATCTCAAGTACCACTGTGAGTATATATCGCTATTTCTGTGCACGATAACAAGAACTGCTGGACACTTTTGCTACGTTTGCAGTCTTCAGAAGCTGGATAAAATTGCTCATGCGGCTGACAGTATATCCCAAGGAGATGTCATCGAGAAGGCAATGAGAAGCAATATGATGTGGAGTCTGCTTCCATTGCACGCTTGTTTCTCGTTTGTTATACCAACTAATGAAATGTCGGGGAATCTTGATGCGTTGGTGCGTTTTCCGGGTTGGTTCGGGCGAAACTCGAAGGCTACGAGATTTAATAGGTATCTATAACGTTATATCTAATGTATAATTTTTATTAAATTCAGTAGCAGTTCTACTACTTGGGTCGCTATATAACAATACATAATTTCTAGATTAATACAAGAATTAACGACGCATACGCGATTAACGACAGGCGCAAATAAAGACGCTCTGAATATGGATTATATGGTTCATATTCGAAATGCCATTATAAAACCTCTAATAGATAACGGTACGGATGGTATTGAAGCAGCAATAAACATCATGGGAAAATATCATTTAACAAGGTCTACATCATTTTGATTATATTGGATATTGGAAGAATATTAGAAGATATAACCGTTGATATTTAATTTTTTTTTCTTTAGAGAGGATTTGGATTCAATGATAGAGATTTCTCTCTGGCCAGGAGTTCGCGATCCTACGAGTAATCTTGATAGCAAAGTACGTGCAAGCAATATTAATAAATGTCATATTAATTCAATAATAATCAAGGTTGGGTAATAACTAGTTGATTAGTTAAAAGTTAAAGAAAAAGTTAAAAAGTTAATAATTTTTAACTCAATTTAGTTATTTCAAAAAGAGTTAACTTTTAACTTTAACTAGTTATTTTTAAAACACATAAACTTAAACTTATTAACTTTCTCCCCAAATTTATTTGATGATTTATATTATTATTATTTAGAGTAATCTAATTTTAAAATTACAATTACTAATTTAATATAAAGTGAAGTAATGCTTTTCAAAATTTTAACTTTTATCTTAACTAACGTTAATTTAATCTTAACGTAACTTTTATTGAGTTAATTTTTTATTTGTATAACTTTTAACATAACTAAATTAATTTTTTAACCCATTAACTTTAACTTAATTTAGTTTAAAAAAATATAAACTTACCTAACTCTGGTGATAATATATAAAATAACTATTACAACTTTGTATTATAAAATTAAAAGATGTGTAATTATATTTGAATATTTCAGGTGAAAGCAGCATTTACACGAGCGTATCAAAAGAATTCTCCTATGCTGCCATATGCAATTAACAGCAATGTTGCAGCAAAGAAAAGATCTTTGCAAGATGAAGATTTCATAGAAGAGGAAAATAATGAAGAAGAGGATGACAGTATCGAGTTCGACAAAATGATCAAGGTAGCGTTAAAAATTATTTCTACAATTTTGTTACAAGTTATCAATTTTACAAAAAGATATCAATTTTACAAGTATGATTGTGTAATTTAAAAATTGTAGGCAAAGAAACCTACTGCTAGTACTAGTAAAGCTGCTGTATCTACGAAAAGAAACGGCGAACCAGCTAAAAAACGTGCAAGAAAGGGACGGGATAAACCCAAATAGGCGACATATAATATCAAGGAATGGAACGTAAATGTTATTTAAAGAACAAAATGTGGAAACACAGAATTGATTATTGTTAATATTCGTTTGTTTGCTTAATCATATCAATCGCAACGACACTTATATGTGAATGAATATGGAATGATTTTTATATTTCACTTGTTAAATTTATTGTGCATTGAAATGCAATGACTTTACAAAGTCTTATGTTCCCTGCTCTCACTTATTTCAAAATATAATTTTATTTTTCTATATCCATGGAGGAAATGTATTACTCAGAAGGATCGTTGTTTCTAAGCTCTTCTCTCGTCTGTACGCATTCTAAAATGAAAGAATTAATTATCATATATAAATATTTTGAGATATATATATATATATATATATATATATATATATATAAAATATAAATAATAAAATCCTTAATTATTGTATTTTCAGCTACAAGACGTACTTCTATTACTTGATTTCCATCCAATATATTCATTAGTTCTCTTATTTTCTTCAGTCAGCCAATCGGTCAAAGGTTTGAAATATTCCAAAAGTCCAGCAGAATCCATTTGTCTTTGACCTGCGATCTTTTCCATTGCATCTGGCCATGGTTTTGAAGAACCCAACTCCAGCATAGATCTAATACAAACACGGTCATTATCTATATTGTCTCGAAAATTGTGTCTTTATAATACTCAAACTTACTTTAGCAGGTTTCCGGCATCCTTGTTATCGTAAATATCACATTGATGCAATGGATTGGCACTCGGATTTTTCGGATCATATTGCTTCGCCTTGGTGCACAGGGCTTTATGGAATTGGAATTGTATCACGAAACTTACATAGTATCTTATATACTCAACGTCTGCGATTATGTGATATTTTGAACCGGGATCGAAGTCCTCTTCTGATCTATCCACTGGTGGTTCAATGCCTTGATACTCCTCTGCAAGCGACCACCTTTGAAGTAACAAAAGTTCTTAATTTACTCATTAAAAATTAATTTTTACTCATTAAAAATTAATTTACTCATTAAAAATTAATTTACTCATTAAAAATTAATTTTTAAAAATTCATTAAATAATTTTATCTTCAAAGAGAACAAATTATTCACGAAAGAAATGAACCAACCAATTGCAGTTGTAATTGTCGGGCGTCACTTTTCCTTGGAATACATCCCAACGCCATCGATCCATCATGTAGGCGAACGGCAAGAATACAATCTTTTCAAGACTCTTCACGTAGAGATGATTCAGCAATGCTTCTCGGTCAGTTGAGTCGTCCTTCAAGAGTCCGATTTTCTTGAGATGACTGGGGATGGACGCACTGAGAGAGATGACGTCGCCGACCGCCTCGTGAAAGCCTGGATTTGCGCCCTCCTTGAAGACAGTGGGCTGATGCTTGTATTGCAAATAATACTCGACGTGACCCATTTCATGATGCGCCGTTAATAAGTCCTCCATGTTAATGCGCGTGCATTGCTTGATCCTGAAATCTTTGCCATCATAAAAGTCCCACGCACTCGCGTGGCAGATCATGTTCGTGTCCTTCTGCTTCAACAGGATTGACTTTTCCCAGAATGTGTCTGGCATAGCGGATAGATTGATCGATTTGAAAAAGTTCTCAGCAAGTCGGAATATGCTTGTCGCATTGTAACCTGTGTGAAGAAATATTTATAATTATAATATTATAATATTATATATAATATTATTAATATATATATTATTGAGGAGCAGTGGTCCTCTTGTACCCCGTACAGGGCAAGAATATATATAATATTATTATTATAAAATATATATATATATATATATATATATATATATATATATATACAGGGTGAGGCATCTAAAACAGGCCACCTGAATAACTCCGTTGGTAAGCCGAATACAAAAAAATTGTTCAGACAAAAGTTGTATGGTTTCAAGGGAGACATATGATGGTGTCATTAGTTTAATCTTGAAGAGCCACCCGAAGGTCACGTGAAGGTCAGCTCCAACTTTTTAAATGGGACACCTTATATGCTTTTGCATATTCTTGTAGCTCATCTCAAGAGCTTTCCAAAACACTACAATTATGTTAGTTTTCATTAAATACTTTCCAAGTTATGAGGCTTGAAATCATTTTTTAATTTTACATAAACCGTAAAATATCTTGTAAAATATTCATTTTTCGATTATTTTACCTTAATACTTTTATGTACAAAATAATGAGAAGAATCAATTGGTATAAAGAAAACACATAATTGCTTCGAACAAAAAAATGTAATTGTTAATTGCAAATTACATTTTTTTGTTCGAAGCAATTATGTGTTTTCTTTACACCAATTGATTCTTCTCATTATTTTGTACATAAAAGTATTAAGGTAAAATAATCGAAAAATGAATATTTTACAAGATATTTTACGGTTTATGTAAAATTAAAAAATGATTTCAAGCCTCATAACTTGGAAAGTATTTAATGAAAACTAACATAATTGTAGTGTTTTGGAAAGCTCTTGAGATGAGCTACAAGAATGTGCAAAAGCATATAAGGTGTCCCATTTAAAAAGTTGGAGCTGACCTTCACGTGACCTTCGGGTGGCTCTTCAAGATTAAACTAATGACACCATCATATGTCCCCCTTGAAACCATACAACTTTTGTCTGAACAATTTTTTTGTATTCGGCTTACCAACGGAGTTATTCAGGTGGCCTGTTTTAGATGCCTCACCCTGTATATAAAATTATAATATTATATATAATATTATTATAATAAAATATATATATGTATATATATATATATATATATATATATATATATATATATAATATTATTATAATATAAATATTATAATATATTTATAATATTATAAGATATTATAACACATAAGAGATTGACCGATGCAAGATCAAATTATGATTTCAGAATCAAAGGTAAACCTGCCTTGCTCGACTAAAGCGTCGCTAACATCCGGCAACTGTTTGCCAGGAAATGGTACGGTGAATTCCGCGATATTCGACCAGGTCTGAGCCCACGCGTTGCCCAATAAATGTGCTGGAATCGGGCCATCCTTGGAAACAATGCTCTCCCCATATTTCTTTCTGAGTTCGTGCCGGACATAAGCGTGCAGTTGCAGATACAACGGTTTTAATTGTTGCCAAAGAGTCTCTGCAAAGATTCTCCATTTATTTTACGAATGCATCATCGCACAGACACAGATAATATTGTGCGAATCTTACCGATTTGTTCGGGGAAGTCATCGGCCTCGTAATCCTTCATCCAGTAGGCCGCGTAGTCGGAAAAGTTGTTGAGCCTTGCTGCGGTGTTGGCCAACTCGACGTATTTGGGATACAGAGATTTTACCTGCTCACCCGAAGCTTTCCTCCACTCCACCCAGATGTGTTTCAACTCCTCGGGATCGCGGCTGTGCATCAAGATTTCAGTGATTTCCGGCTCAAGCGCGAGATCGCACCTGCTCCTATTCTTGTAGTCGCAGATCTTCGCAGTACTGTAAATATTCTCCATCTGACTGATGGTCGATTCGAATTCCTTGTAACTCTGTAATCAAGTTTCGCGATCAATGGTACCTTCCTAATTCTAATTCAGCGATCTAATTCTTATTTAATTAATCAATTGTTTAATCCAGATGTTAATTCTGAGAAAAATCGCTGTACGAAGAGGAAAGAAGATAATAGAAATTCTTCTTCACTTTAATTTTCCACAAAAAAGGCTTTCATTCACTAAGAAAAAAATAATGTTGAACCAATAACATTAGTGTAATTGGAATTTATTTTATTAATTCAATATAATTTTTAATCAAATCAATATACTATGTATTGATTTGATTAGTAATGTTATTGAATTAATAAAATAAATTTCAATTACACTGATGTTGTTAATTCAACATTACTTTTTTTTTCAGTGTTATTAACAAATAAAGACAATTGATTTAGATTTGTCTTCATTATATTCTTACATTTTCAGGAAGCGCGGCGACGCCGAGTATACCGAGTTTGCTGAACTGCCTTTTGAGATTCTCGTCTTCTAAATTCTTCCAAGGAAAAGCATTCACTTCTTCAGCGATCTGCTTCATGACACGCGCAGCTGCCGTGGATACGTTTATCTTCTCCGCCAGGTTCTCATCCGTGAGGTTTGACGCATAATTCCATTCAGCAAGGGTCCTTTTGTTGCTCCATTTTGCATATTCCGCGTCAATACGGTTCAGGACAGCCTGAGCATTCTCCAATAGTTCCGCAGCAGCCTGCGAATCTTCGACGGGATCTACCGGACCCTCTGGCTTAGACGCCGCTAAACTTACGATTGCCGCTACCAAGATTCTGATGACACGATAATCACGCAATCAATAATTAATAATTGTAATAATATATGTATTATATGTATTATATAATAATCTCGAATAATTAATTTTTTTATTGCTGATAAATTGTTGATGATTGAAAAAATTGTAAACAATGTAAAATGTTTCTCAGTTTGAAGATGACATGCATTTCGAAGGTCGGTTATCGCTCTAAACAATTACTTTATAAAACTTATAGTCATATGATAAGCATTTTTGACTCACAGTCATTTGATAAACATTTTTTTGCAACAATTTCTTTTTTTCTGTTCTGTGTTGCGTATGTGTGTATTGTGATATATTTATTATAATCTTATCAATATACTGCCAACAGCAAATGAGAGATATTTTATAATAAATCAATCATTTACTAAGAGTAAATCAAATTAAAAATTTATACAAATATAATAAGTAATATAATAATTCTAATATAATTAATATATAATAATTACAATAATTATATAATAATTATAATAAATATAATAATGTATAATATAATAATTCTAATATAATTAATATAGAACAATTATATAATAATTTAATATAAAAAATAATTAAAAAAATATAATTAAAAAAATTTTCAATTCCAAAAATATATAATTAATTTTATCTTCTCTCTCTCCTTTTGCACACATATTTCTCGTTTATACATGTATAAGTTCTATAATCTATGTCGAATGCTGAGAGATCAGAGCGAAGGTATAAATTATCTAGAATTGGAAAACATTATTTTTGTTGAGGTAATCTCTTTGAGAGCGATGCAGTGTTACATGATATGACGAGGTCGAACAACAACGCGATTTCTAAGTCTCGTCCAGGAGTGTGACACGAAGAGCACTCGCGTCCGACGTATTAACTCATTAGATCGTAAGTGATCGTCGCCGTGCATCCGGGTATATTCGGCATAAATGCCGGCAACAATATCTCAAGTGTATCGGAAGTGGATAATCGTCCTTCGCGAAATCAGTGGCACGAAACGAATTTAATGAAAATTGTACAGAATGTCCTTACATATGTTTAGAATCTTCAGTACAATTTTTAAATCGATTCACTAAAGCGTTCACAAGTTATAAGGATTTTAATTTGCACCGAATTAACATGTGTTCTTATGGGAAACGCATAACCACGTCAATTCAAATGAAAAAAACACATGGAAATAATATTCAGAATTTGTTTAAAATTTGCAAAAGTTTAGATACAGAGGAAATAATTGGTCAAATAATATTATACAAGTACTAACTGATTAAAAAGATATTAAATATAATTGAATAAGATTAGCCATGTATCTGTCACAAGGCGAAATTCTCTGCTAAAAGGTAATCATTTCGATTAAGGATGTTTTGTACCTATTTTCAAAATATTGAGAATTTAATAAAAATTGTACAAAATGTCTTTACATATGTTTAGAATCTTCAATACAATTTTTTAATCGATTCGCTAATGTACTCACAAGTTATAAGGATTTTAGTTTGCACCGAATTAACATGTGTTCTTCTGGGAAACGTATAACCACGTCGATTAAAATAACAAAAACACATGGAAATAATATTCATAATTTGTTTAAAATTTGCAAAAGTTTAGATACAGAGGAAATATTTGGTCAAATAATATTATACAAGTACTAACTGGTTAAAAAGATATTAAATATAATTTAATAAAGTTAGCCATGTATCTGTCACAAGGCGAAATTCTCTGCCAAAAGTTAATCATTTCGAACATTTAACAAAATTCGAAATATTTCAGTAAAAACGCAATAAATATTAAAAAATGAGCCGTTTATTTTGAAAGTGACCTAAGTCCATTTATATTTAAATTGAGATATTTAAAAGTTTGCGTTTCAATCAATTAAAAATATATAAAAAAATGGACTTATGCCACTTTCAAAATAAACGGCTCAAATACATCTCTGCACAGTAGCACACAATTTCTTATTCAAAATACACCAAAAGTGAATATATTTGTCAATATTGATTTTCAGCTACTTTTTGCTGGGATTGTACATACAAAACATCCTTAAATAAGTAACTTATAAAAAAGGCATTAACGTTAATTTTTCGAAAGAAGAGAATATCGTGATCCATCCCAGGCAAACACCAAGTAACAGTTATATAATTGTTAGTTATAATTTTCCACTCAAATATAATTTTTATTTAACACCTAACAGTTATATATCATGTAACAGTTATATTGTTGAATAGAAAATTATAAGTTATATAACTGTTACTTGGTATTTGCTTATGATATGATTAATAAAAAGACTAGGATATGATTAATAAAAAAAACGGTAATATATTTATATATAAACAATTATATGCATGTGTAATATATACACAAAATTATACAACATATGATATGTTATATGACATAAGATATTTTAAATTAGGGTTATCTCAATTATTATAAATCAAATCGTGTGCTCTTCATCTTCACCTGGATGCGACATTAATTTTCATAGGATTATCGAGCATCTTCGAATCTTCGGATCAGGACAAACATTATGCTAATCAACTAACGGGATACTTACAGGCGCAGCATATCGGTTTGCCAGTCTCTTTCACGTTCTTACGAAATAAGATCTTGCGGTTTTAGTGAAGAAATCCGAGCAACTTTCAGTGAGAGGGTCTATAACGTTCTCCACAGACGTACACAATCGCCTTCCAACCATTGACTGACCTTCGTGAGCGAGATGCGTTATCTTTTATGCAACTTCCCCTCCTTCATCGACAGAATCCGGTGGCGATCCCCGATAAATTCAAGCGTGATCCTAATCTCGATACTCGTCGTCCTTTATCGTTGTCAATTTATATTTCGACTCGAATGATTGTGATCTTTTTCAATCTTCAGCATGTCGATTATTTTCAAAGACCGAAGACGGGATCCGCAAAGAAATATGTATCAACATTCTGGAATTTATAGGCATTTTATTATTAGTCATTTATTATTTTTTATTATCAGATATTAATATTCTTTTATTTATTATCAGAAATATTTATATTCTCGTATACAGGGCAATCTCTTCTCAAAGAAAAGCTGTTGTAGCTTACCTCGAGAATTTTTCAAAACACTATAATGAAGTATTCACTAATGTAAAGTAAAAACACTAAATAAACACAATTGTTTCGAAAAAAATATGTAATTTGCAACTAACAATTACATTTTTTTTTCGAAATAATTATGTGTTTTCTTTACGCCAATTGATCCTCTCATTATTTTGTACATAAAAGTATTAAGATAAGATTAGATAAGATAAGATTAAGATAAGATAATCGAAAAATGAATATTTTACTAGATATTTTATGATTTATATAAAAATTAAGAAATTATTTCAAGCCTCATAACTTGAAAAGTACTCGATGACAAAATTACAACTTTATTATAGTGTTTTGAAAAGCTCTCGAGGTAAGCTACAAGAGTTTTTTTTAGGGAAGAGATTGTCCTGACACTCCGTATATATAACATTATATATCTAATATTTGAAAACTATCAAAATATATATAAAATAATTTTTATAAAATAATTTCTAGAATTTTGTACAAACTTATTACGTGAAATTGTTTTACGTTTAAATCGCTATCATATTGATAGCCTGATCATTTTGGCATTTAAAATAAAGTTTAGACTGTTGTATACACACAAAAAAAGACATTCTTGTTTTGAAAATATATTTAGTTTTAACATGAAAATCTTGAAATGAAATTATATTGCTTTAATTAAGGAAAAATATAATTGCTTGAATAATTGCTTACTTGAATGAAACCATTTTATATAGTTCGATCAAGAAAAATATATTCTTCTGATTTAAGATTTAATTTTCTGGAATGGAAAAGAAACAATGTTAGATAGAAAATAACATTTTTAAAACAAAGATTATAAAACATAAAGTAAGAAGTTCTTTGTTAAAAGTATAAGTTCAATAGTAATGAGGCATTAAGAGCTCAGTATATTTGAATTAACCATGTATTATGAAATATTTACAATAAACAAAAAAATAAAAAAGTACAAGTCAAAGTTAAATGTGAAATGTAAAGTGTTCACGAGGAAAATCAAAATGAAATGTCAGTATAAAGATTACAAATAATTTAAAAATAACTGATAAAGAGAGAAACAAATAAATGGTGTCGCAATAAAATGTCAGTAAAAAGATTACAAATAATTTAAACATAACTAACAAATAGCGAACAAATAAACGTTTCAAACTTGACAAAGATTATAATTTTCTGAAAGTAGAATTAAATAATTATATATTCTTGAGGTGACAATTGCAATATTAAAATAAGACTATAATATTGTTGAAATTTAAAATTATTAAATTCTTCTAAGAAAATTATAAATTGTTGCGTATATACGAAACAACGAACGTTAGTTTAAGTATATAAGTTTTGATTTGACACTTATTTATTTTCTGTGTAATAATGCATTTGAAAAATCAACAAACCTTGGAAAAACGACAGAATTGCGACAGAAATTTTCGCAAGCCTCGCTACTTTCACGTCTTTCGCCATTGTTTATTGCCGAAATAAACGAATGGTTAGACAGACACATTAAAAATTTCCAATATAAAAAACATATATCTTTACCTGATGATCAACTTTACATTCTGAATTCGCGGGAGTGAGCGTCCTTGCTTCTTCTAATGTCCTCCGATTCTTTTCGCTTCATCGATGACACTTCTCGAGAGTTGAGGCCACGTCTTGAACTCGATATCGATTCAAGGGATTCCGTTACGATCGCGGAATAAAAGATTGCTCATTGTGTAAAATTTTCCGAGATAGATACTTATTATACAATAAGTTTTAAGTTAAAAACGCTTCAAATCCGAGAAACGCCTAAAACAAAATAATTAAAGTAAACTTAAAATATATTAAATATCGGAGAAAGAGAGAGAAAGAACAAAGTGATATCTTTTGTCCACAGAAAATTCAATGAAAATATTATGATCATTTCCGAAAATTGTCAGCTTTAAATTTTTGTTTTAGAAGGAGTTGATTTTTTAAATATATTCTTGACGTTATATTTTTTCCATATCTGTGCGAAATACGAAATGCAAATTTGTAAAAATAACAGATAATGAAATTTTGGTTTTCGACATTAGACGATGAAATCATAATAATGTAAAATAAAATTTAAAAAACAATAGTAATAAATATGTTTAAAAAGAAAGATACGATGACATATTAATGGAAAGATAACTTTTTAAAACAGGAATAACCGCATAGTTGTTGTGCACTCTTAAAAAGAATTAATCGAAGTATCAGATTCCATATAATATAGCAGAAAAATGGGTTGTAAAATAAATCTCATTAAAGTTACCATTTTAAAAAAAGGTTAAAAAAGGGCGCCAAGTTTATGCACTAATTGTATCCAACTGTCATATTGTCTTCAAAAATAGTGATATAAAAAGATTGTGCCAACTAACAATAAGAATAAAAATTTGTATAAGATAAATAGAAGTGCAAGGAAGAAAAGCTGTACAAGTTAAATAGAAATATTTTAATTGAAAACATTGTTATACAAAATAGTTGTTTTAATGTTTAAAAATAATAATATTAAAAAATTAAAAATTTATTTAAAAATTGAAAATTGAAAATTAACAAAAACGAATTATTAATCATCAATAAGTATACAAAACATTCATATTAACAAATAGATAAATAAAATTATATATTAAACAAAAGTTTTACCTTAGATCGTCAGAGCGCAGCAGAACTTGAAACAGTTGATGGATTAGCAATAACATTGGAAATCGAGATAATCGTAAAAACGGCAACTAGTAGAAATATGTATATTAGTATTTATCGTTGCAAACTTACTATAAGAGCTGATCTAAACTTTTGAATTCTAATATTACATCTTCATAATGTGCTTCAATTTCTATAGCAAAAAATCGTGATTTGAACATCATAATAATATCTAATTCAAATTCTGATTTGTGGATTATTAAATTTTATTTCAACATATTTGTAGATTATTATGTAAATTATTGAATTTTATTTTAACATTATTTTTTAAAGCTCAAGATAAAGTATAGTATATATAATTTTTATTATATATAACATTTTTATATTATATATAAACACTATAAGGTTATCTGAACATTTCTTTGCATATAGTCACATAAAAGAAATCGTGCAAAAAATATTTTTTATTTAACATAGAAAATGAAATTTTTCTATTGTCACACTATTTTTTAAATTTTCAATAAAATTTTTTTTATGAAAAGATACATACGCACATACATACATACATACATAAGACACACGCACATATATATATGTATCATACAGATTTTCATACAGATTTTTTATATGTCCTTATAATTTTTTTTTCTATTTACTATGTAAAACTGTATGAAAAACTAATGTAAATATATTTATTAATATTATATTTATTAACAAACTGTTTTACTCGGATTTGTCTTGGACTTAAGAAAATTCTTAGTTAATATTCTTAGCAAATAATCTTAGCTAATATTCTTAGCGAATTTATTGTAAAAACTAAAACTATATTTGTGATTCAGTAGCATTTCTAAAATTAAGTCTCAACTCTTTTAACTAATTAATTGATTGATTGATTTAATATTTCGTGTGTACCAAAGTATATCGGAGCAAGTAAATAATTAAAAACAATACAAAAATATATCATTATAATCATAAATTATTATAATTATATTGAATAAAATAAATCATTATATTGAATTATATTAAATTATTATAAATTTGTGTGATTTTATCACACAAATTTATAATTTGCTGATGAATTTATAATTTGCTGATGAATTTTGTTGATAATAAATGGAATAGCATTAGTTATAAGTTTTCATCATTTTTATTAAAACTTAACAATATACATACTTCCATGTGTTAATATATATATATATATATATATATATTATTATTATTATTATTATTAATATATATTATATATTATATATTATTATTATTATTATTATTATTATTATTATTATTATTATTATTATTATTATTATTATTATTATTATTATTATTATTATTATGTTAATATGTTTTTGAATTAAAATTATATAATTTAAGTGTAATGTTTTTTAATAAAAATATAACACCTTATTGTTAAGTTGTATTTTATAATTTAATATAATATAATTTAATCTTATGTAAATTTTGAAAGTTTTGATTTAATTTTTTAAAAACCTATATATCGAATAATATTGTGACGATTATATTCTGGGCAAACAAGAACCGAGCATACATTTCGCTACTTTCATTCAATCTGTATAAGAGAAACAATATACGCTTGTTCTCACAGATTGTCCAATAATTGATTGTTCAATGACAAAAGATACTTGATAATACAATTGCTAATTCTGTCTATCTCCTGTGACGTGAAATTTCACTAAACTTTAACAATTTAATATAAATAGCATGCACATGCACAATCTATTATGTTGCATTGTGAAGAGTCACTAGAATTAAAGATCAAATTAAAATTCGTTTTTTTTTGCAATATAAATGAAATTAATAACTTTTCATTTCACTGCGAAATGGCATTGGTGATTTACTAATTTTAATTTTACTAACAGTGATAAACAATGTTCTAAATTAAATTTGACGATTCGATGATAAGAGATTAATATCAATCATACTAACTACAATATCATACTAACTACATAGTGCATAACATGGATATTTATTAATACAAAATATATAGTAATAATAAACAAACATAATTGCA